CTGCATGTCCAGCTTCCTTCTGAATTCAGGCCCTGCCCTGGCGGTGCCTCTTCCTGGGTTTCTCTGTTCCCAGGGTTTGGGGCGTCTTCTTCTTTGGACCTTTTGTGTCTCAGTTCCAATGTTGCCTCTCAGAGAAGTCTTCTGTGACCGTCCCTCTTGGCATGTCCTCCTTCCTTGTCATTCCCTTTTACTTTCTTCACAGTGCCCCATGCCTTCAGAAGGAATTTTGTTCCTGTCTGTTTTCCCTCGCCTTGCTGATCCAGAAGGTCAAGGTCAAGGCCTGGTGTGTGCAGCTGCCCGCTCTGACCCTGCCTCATGATAATGCACGGTGCCCTGGAGGTGCTGGGTGAGGTTGTGCTCAATGAAGAAGTGAATTCTGAGAGAAGATCCAAGATGGCCAAATCGGAACAGCTCTGGAGTCCAGTTCCCACAAGAACAAAGCAGAGGGCGTATGATCGCAGCATTTCCACACAAGTTTTCACTGCCCACAGACCAGGAGATTACCAGGCTGAAAAGTGCCACGAGTTTCGAGCACGGCTGTTTCAGCCAGCGCAGTGGGTCTCCACACACAAACCCACACGCAAATCTGGGCAGCCATTTCAACTGTCACCTGGAATGCCTGGAAGACAGAGCCACCCATTCAACTGATAAAAAGGGGGCTGAAACAGGGAGCCAGGTGATCTGGCTCGGGAGTTCCCACCCCCACGAAGACGAGCAATCTGAAATGCTCAGGACTGAGAGTTTCGCAGCAAGCACTGCTGGACCCAGAACGGTCCAGCTCTGCGGGGGGAAGGGCGTCAGCCATTACTGAGGCAGTCCACCATTACTGAGGCAGTCTGCCATTACCTAGGCCGTCCGCCATTACAGAGGCAGTCGGCCATTACTGAGGCAGACTGCCATTACCGAGGCAATTCTAACTATACCTCTATAAACAAAACCTCTTGGAAGTTCACACAGCAGCTGGGCAGAGCCCATAGCAGCTCAGAAACGCCTCTGATGGTAGACTGTGACTAGGCTACCTCCTTGCTGGGCAGGGCATCTCTGAAAAAAGGAAGCAGCACATCAGGAACTTCTAAATAAAGCCCCACCTTCTCAGGATAGAGCACCTGGGAAAAAAAGGCGGTTATGAGTTCTGCTGCAGCAGACTTAGACATACCTGCTCAGCAGCTCTGAATGGAACAATGGAGCTCCCAGCACAGCATTTGAGCTCCTATAAGAGACAGACTGTCTCCTCAAGCAGTTCCCTGACTCCTGTATATCCAAAGAGACACCTCATAAAGGAAAACTCAAGCTGACATCTGGCACGTATCCTTCTGGGATGAAGATAACAGAAATGAAATTGGAAGCAACCCTTACTGTTCTGCAGCCACTGCAGGTGATCCCCAAGCAAGCAGAGTCTGCAGTGGACTTCCAGCAGTCCTACAGCGGAGGGGCCCATTAGAAGGAAAACTAAAAAAAACAGAAAGAAATAACCTCAACATCAACTAAAAGGACATCCACTCAGAGACCCCACCTGAAAGTCACTGACTATGAAGACCACAGGTAGATAAATCCACAAAGATGGGAAGAAACCAGTACAAAAAGGATGAAAGCACCCAAAACCAGAAAGCCTCTCTTCCTCCAAGAGATCACAACTCCTCACTAGCAAGGGAACAAAGCTAGATGGAGAATGAGTCTGATGAATTGACAGAAACAGGCTTCAGAAGGTGGGTAATAACAAACTTCTCTGAGCTAAAAGAACATGTTCTAACCCAATACAAAGAAACTAAGAACCTTGAAAAAAGGTTTGACAAAATGCTAACAAGAATAGAGAAGAATAAAAATTAATTAATGGAGCTGAAAAAACATGAGAGCTTCACAAAGCATACACAAGTTTCAATAGCCGAATCAAACAAGCAGAAGAAAGGATATCAGAGAATGAAGATCAGCTGAATGAAATAAAGTGAGAAGGCAAGAATAGAGAAAAAAAGAGTAAAAAGAAATGAACAAAGCCTCCAAGAAATATGGGATTATGTGCAAAGACCAAAGCTACATTTGATAGGTGTACCTGAATGTGACAGAGAGAATGAATCCAGGCTGGAAAACACTCTTCAGGATACTATCCAGGAAAACTTCCCCAACCTAGCAAGGCAGGCCAACATTAAAGTCCAGGAAATACAGAGAACACCACAAAGATATTCCTCCAGAAGAGCAACCCCAAGGCACATAATTGTCAGATTCAACAGGGTTGAAATGAAGGAAAAAATGCTAAGGGCAGCCAGAGAGAAAGGTCATGTTACCCACAAAGGGAAGCCCATTAGACTCACAGTGGATCTCTTGGCAGAAACCCTACAAGCCAGAAGAGAGTGGGGGCCAGTATTCAACATCCTTAAAGAAAAGAACTTTTAACCTAGAATCTCTTATTCAGCCAAATTAAGCTTCATAAGTGAAGGAGAAATAAAATCCTTTACAAACAAGCAATTGTTGAGAGACTTCATCACCACCAGGCCTGCCTTACAAGAGCTCCTGAAAGAAGCACTAAATGTGGAAAGGAACAACCAGTACCAGCCACTCCAAAAAGGTACCAAATGGTAAAGAGCATCGACACAATGAAGAAACCGCATCAACTAACAGGGAAAACAACCAGCTAGCATGAAAATGGCATGATAAAATTCACACATAACAATATTAACCTTAAATGTAAATGGGCTAAATGCCCCAATCAACAGACATAGACTGGCAAATTGGATAAAAAGTCAAAACCCATCAGTGTGCTGTATCCAGGAAACCCATCTCATGTGCAAGGACTCACATAAACTCAAAATAAAGGGATGGAGGAAGATTTACTAAGCAAATAGAGAGAGAGAGAGAAAAAAAAAAAGCAGGAGCTGCAGTCCTAGTCTCTGATAAAACAGACTTTAAACCAACAAAGATCAAAAGAGACAAAGAAGGGCATTACATAATGGTAAAAGGGTCAATGCAACAAGAAGAGCTAACTATCCTAAATATATACGTACCCAATACAGGAGCGCTCAGATACATAAAGCAAGTTCAAATCAGATACATAAAGCAAGTTCAAATCACAGTGGGCCTTATAGCATCATTAATCGTATAGCCACGATATGTCTATTATACTATAATACATGCTGCCTACAACAGACTCATGTTAGGTCTAAAGACGAACATACGAAGAAGTGCTCATCATCCCTGGTCATTAGAGAAATGCAAATGAAAACTACATTGAGATACCACCTCACGCCAGTTAGAATGGCGATCATTAAAAAATCTGGAGACAACAGATGCGGGAGAGGATGTGGAGAAATAGGAACACTTTTACACTGCTGGTGGGAGTGTAAATTAGTGCAACCATTGTGGAAGACAGTGTGGTGATTCCTCAAGAACCTAGAAATAGAAATTCCATTTGACCCAGCAATCCCATTACTGGGTATATATCCAAAGGATTATAAATCATTCTATTATAAAGACACATGCATACATATGTTCACTGCGGCACTGTTTACAATAAATAGCAAATACCTGGAACCAACCCAGCTGCCCATCGACGACAGACTGGACAAGGAAAATGTGGCACATATACACCATGGAATACTGTGCGGCCATAAAAAATGATGAGTTTGTGTCCTTTGCGGGGACATGGATGAAACTGACACAAGAAAAGAAAATCTAACACCACATATTCTCACTCATAGGTGAGTGTTGAACAATAAGAGCACATGGACACAGGGAAGGGAGCATCACACACTGGTGTCTGTTGTGGGGGAATAGGTGAGGGACAGCAGCAGGGGGTAGGGTGGTTGGGGAGGGATAACATGGGGAGAAATGCCAGATATAGGTGACAGGGGGATGGAGGCAGCAAACCACCTTGTCAAGTATGTACCTACGCAACACTCCTGCACGTTCTGCACATGTACCCCAGAACCTAAAGTGCAATAAAATATATATTTTTAAAAAATGGTTGAGGAAAGTACTTTCAAGCTTGCCTGAGGTCTGAGAAGCTGAGCTTTCTGCAATGGTCTGAGGGTAAGCTTTGACTGGAGTGTTTGAAGGACGCCTTTCCTGTTTGCTTTCTCGGCGTGGAAACGTCAAGATGCAGAATCCAGATAGGTCACTGTAGCCTGGGCCTCTGCGATCTGGATTTGAAGCTGCAGACTGTGTTGAACTGGGCGAGCGGGAGGGCAGAGTGCGCTGGGGTCCAGCCTCCTGGGGTCCTGAAAGGGTGGGATGGTGTAGGCTGGTCCCCCACCCAGAATTAGTCAGAATTTGCTTCCCCACCAGGAGCGAGGTGAGTGAGAGGCGGGTCCTGGAGTAGTGCACCTGGAGGTGATCAGCATGGGCTGAAGTGTCAGAGGAGGTGACAGCCCAGGTCTTGCCTAATTAGTAGGTCTCTTCCAGCTGGAGATGCTGCCATCTTCTGTCACCCCTGGGGCACACCTGAGACCCTGCTCCCCGGACCTCCCCCCAGGAGGCTGAGTGCTAGACTCAGCCTGGGAGACAGGCTGAAGTTCTCAGGTAAATTTTACCCTACCAAGGCTGCGGCTTTGTAGGTAACACAGAAATGGGGAGGTGCTAGCCTGTCACTCTCTCCCATGCTCAGTCTCTTCCCTTTTCATCACCATCTCAGCCCCAACCATCTTCCTCCCTCCCTTCCTCCTTCCCTCCTTCATCTCTCTTTCTCTCTGAAGAGCTGAGGCTATAGGCGTGGCCGCCACGTAGGGCTAATTTTGGTATTTTTTGTTGAGATGGGATTTCGTCATGTTGCCCACGCTGGTCTGAACTCCTAGGCTCAGGCAATCCTCCTGCCTCAGTCTCCGAAAGTACTGGGATTACTGGCGAGAGCCACCGCATTGGGTGAGAGCTTTGAGTTTAAAGAATTGACCAACTCCCGAGTTGATTTCCTGTCGGACTTTTCGCGGTTGAGACATAGAGTTGGGGTTTTGATGGTAACCGAGTTCCATTAGAGACAGACTGTGCAGCTTCGCTGTTTTATTTTAAATCCGTTAATGAGGAGGAAGAGAAAAACAAGACGTAGGGTGTTGGGGGCAGAGGCGGGAGTCGGGAGCGCCTGCGAAATCGGGGTCCCTGTGGAGCTGGGGAGCCGTCGAGGCGCGCGAGGGCCGGGCCCCCTTGCCGCGTGGTCTTTGACAGGAAAGTCTCTGATTTGGTTGGGGTCGGACCGCGTCCCTCCCCCCGCTCCCTCCTCTCCCCGGCTCTCCCGGGCTCTCCCCGGCTCTCCCCGCAGTGGGGCCGACCGGCTTCAGGTTGACTAACAGAGAGCGATTTTCCGAGCAGCTTTGCAGCGCGGTGTTTTCTAAATCGCAGCAAGTGCTGGGCGATGGGATGCGGTTTTGGCGGCAGTGGAAGGGCTGCCTTTGAGAGTCCCGCAGGAAGATTTAGAAAGTAATTTTTCTTAAAACGGAGCGGTCTGGCTGTTGTAATTGCCCTGTTTTGCTGTGTGTTCCTCAAAGTGGTCCCCGCGTGAGTGGTCCCTTGTAGGGCTAAGCGCCCCACAGGGTCGTGTGCAGTAAGGGGTTCACCCTTATTAGGTCACCGAGGCATGGACGTGGGCCGTGCGGAGTGAAGAGGGTTTAGTGACATGGGCATGCTACTCCTTGGAGGATGCTTAATCACACAGCAGTGACAGAGCTGTTAGGGTCTACCGTCACCTGCTGGCAGCTTCCAAGGAGTTCTATAGGAGGATGCTTTTGATCTAGCACAGTGACAAGAGCTACTAAAGTTCACAGTCGCCAAGGTGCAGTTATTTGGAGGGATTTTGATGCTCGAGGGATTGCCAGTCTGCAGGCAGCCTTCCACAAGTACTGGAGCAAGATCCTACAACTTCTTTATCAGGAGGAGTGGCTCTTGCCCCAAGCCTGCCATGCCGCCGATATCTTTACGTTACTGAACGCTGCCTCCTGGGCCATGGATTCTTGTCCTGGTATAACTGTCTTTCCCTTAATCATGCTCTGCACCATGTCTGCTCCAGACATTCCTCTGACTATAAGCTGCTTATTCCTTAATTCATGCTCTGTACCCGTGTCTACTCTAGGCATTCCTCCCATTATGAACTAAGATATAGTTACATATATATAGGGAACATATATATAGTTACATATATATATTACTGAGTGGTAATATATTCTTTAGTCACTCATTCTATGAACTAATATATGATTATATGTAGATAATTATATAAAGGGAAATAACTGAGTAGTAACGCTATAAACTGAGATATTCTTCAGGCACTAATTGTGCCAGGATTCTGCTTAGCTCTCCTTCCTCGGTGCCTCTGGCGGCGGGGGGGGGGGGGGGGGGGAGGGGGGGCGCGGTTACCCACAGTCCCTCATTGTGAGCTGTGCCTCATGTGATGAGTTGATGGCCTTGTGCCTGGGGAGCATAATCTTCAAACAGTTTCTTGGTTTTTTGTTTCGTTTTGTTTTTTGAGACGGAGTCTCGCTCTGTCTCTCAGGCTGGAGTGCAGTGGCGTGATCTCGGCTCACTGCAACCTCTGCCTCCCGGATTCAAGGGATTCTCCAACCTCAGCCTCCAGAGTAGCTGGGATTACAGGTGTGTGTCACCACGCCCTGCTAATTTTTGTATTTTTTGATAGAGACAGGGTTTCACTGTTTTGGCCAGGTTGGTCTTGAACTCCTGACCTCAAGTGATCCACCTGCTTTGGCCTTCCAAAGTGCGGAGATTACAGGTGAGAGCCACCGCGCCTGGCCATTTCAAACAATTTCTAAAAGTTAAAATGTCTTTTGGCCGGGCATGGTGGCTCACGCCTATAATCCCAGCATCCCAACACTTTGGGAGGCTGAGGTGGGTGGATCACGAGATCAGGAGATCTAGACCATCCTGGCCAACATGGTGTAATCCTGTCTCAGTGGTGCGTCCCTGTAGTCCCAGTCTCCTGCCTGCTATTGTCAGGCAGGAGAATTGCTTGAACCTGGGAGGTGGAGGTTGCAGTGAGTTGAGATCTCCCCACTGCACTCCAGTCTGGTGACAGAGCGAGACTCCATCTTAAAACAAACAAACAAAACAACAAAAATAAATACGCTTTCAATTGCATTGGTTATTTTCTTCTGGTGACACAATTGAAAGTTTATTGTAGAGAATTGACAGAGAAGTCTGATGACAATAATTTTGTTATTCGGTAATAGCCACCTCTTAGATAACAATTGGTATGTTATCTTTGGCTCTCAAAGTTAGGATTATATTGTAGTTTTCTGTTTTGAATTCTTTTCTCCCCTTTAACTTTATTTCACAAGCATATGTAATATTAGTACATTTTCTTTGGGAACATGTGAGTTCGTTCCTTCCTTCCTTCCTTCCTTCCTTCCTTCCTTCTTTCCTTCCTTCCTTCTGTTGGTTATTCCCTTTCTTTCTCTTTCTCTTCTCTTCTTTTTTTCTTTTCTTTTCTTTCTTACAGGGTCTTGTTTTGTCACCCAGGCTGGAGTGCAGTGGCGGTATCCTGGCTCACTGCAACCTCAGCCTCCTGGCGCAAGCGATCCCACCTCAGCCTCCCAAGTAGCTGGGACTACAGGTGCATGCCACCATGCCTGGCTAATTTTTGTATTATTATTATTATTATTTAGTAGAGACAGGGTTTCTCCATGTTGCCCAGGTTGATCTCAAACTTCTGAGCTCAAGCGATCTGCCTGCCTTGGCCTCCCAAAGTACTGGGATCACAGGCGTTTGCCACTGCACCCTGACTGAGAACACACTTCTTATTGGCAATATATCATTCCAGCTTAGGGGAATACCATAATTTATTTAACCCTTTGTTTATTTAATACTTTGGTTTAGATAATTGGGTGGTTTCTAATGTTCTATTTTTTTCCCATGAAATCTATTAAGTAGACTTCAGAATGACTCTTTAAAAACCCCCACTTCTTATGGATGAGAAAACAGAGGCAAAAGAGGCAATTTATCTGGCCCAAAGGTCATACCTCTGGATAATTACAGAGCCTGAATTGGAAACTTCGTTCTGTGATTCCTAATTTAGTACCATTTTCAAGTCATCACATGCCCCTCACACTAGCTAATTCATTTTTTCTTCTGCATTAGTCTATTTGAAATAAATAGAACAAACCAAGTTATGATGTAGTTTAAAATACTTCAAGCTTAAATGTGTTCCTTTTCAGGCCAGCTTTGAGAAATTAAAATTCTTTTAAAACTCCAAAAAATCTCTTTATTAAAAAAATGCAGAGAATAAGAAAACAAAAAAGAAACAGTATATAAAACATAGTCCGAATATATTAAATGAATGTAAAAAGAATAACTTTCAATTATAAAAATAAAAATCTAGGAATTATTATTATTATTAATGGTACTTTAAGTTCTGGGGTACATGTGCAGAACATGCAGGTTTGTTATATAGGTATACCCATGCCATGGTGGTTGGCTGCATCCATCACCCCATCATCTACATTAGGTATTTCTCCTAATGCTATTCCTACCCTATCCCCTGACCCCTGACAGTCCCCAGTGCATGATGTTTCCCTCCCTGTGTCCATGTGTTCTCATTGTTCAGCTCCTGCTTATGAGTGAGAACATGCAGTGTTTGGTTTTCTATTCTTGTTAGTTTGCTGAGAATGATGGTTTCCAGCTTCATTCATGTCCCTGCAAAGGACATGAACTCATCCTTTTTTATGGCTGAATAGTATTCCATGGTGTATATATGCCACGTTTTCTTTATCCAGTCTATCATTGATGGGCATTTGGGTTGGTTCCAAGTGTTTACTATTGTGAACAGTGCTGCAATAAACATACATGTGCATGTGTCTTTATAATAGAATGATTTATATTCCTTTGGGTATATACCCATTAATGGGATTGCTAGGTCAAATGGTATTTCTAGTTCTAGATCTTTGAGGAATTGCCACATTGTCTTCCACAATGGTTGAACTAATTTACACTCCTACAGTGTAAAAACATTCCTATTTCTCCACATTCTCTCCAGCATCTGTTGTCTCCTGACTTTTTAATGATCGCCATTCTAACTGGTGTGAGATGGTATCTCAGTGTGGTTTTGATTTACATTTCTCTAAGGACCAATAATGGTGAGTTTCTGTGTGTGTGTGTGTGTTTGTTGGCTGCATAAATGTCTTCTTTTGAGAAGTGTCTATTCATATTCTTTTGAGAAGTGTCTATTCATATTCTTTTGAGAAGTGCCTATTCATATCCTTTTCCCACTTTTGATGTTTTTTTTTTTCTTGTACATTTGCTTAAGTTCTTGTAGATTGTGGATATTAGCCTTTTGTCAGATGGGTAGACTGCAAAAATGTTCTCCCATTCTGTAGGTTGCCTTTTCACTCTGAAGATAGTTTCATTTGCTGTGCAGAAGCTCTTTAGTATAATTAGATCTGATTTGTCAATTTTGGCTTTTGTTGCCATTGCTTTTGGTGTTTTAGTCATGAAGTCTTCGCCCATGCCTATGTCCTAAATGGTATTGCCTAGGATTTCTTTTAGGGTTTGTATGGTTTTAGGTCTTATGTTTAAATTTTTAATCCATCTAGAGTTAATATTTTGTATAAGGTGTAAGGAAAGGATCCGGTTTCAGCTTTCTGCATATGGCTAGCCAGTTTTCCCAACACCATTTATTGAATAGGGAATCCTTTCCCCATTGCTTGTTTTTGTTAGTTTTGTCAAAGATCAGATGGTTGTAGGTGTATGGTGTTATTTCTGAGGCCTCTGTTCTGTTCCACTGGTCTATATATCTGTTTTGGTACCAGTACCATGCTGTTTCGATTACTGTAGCCTTGTAGTGTAGTTTGAAGTCAGGTAGTGTAATGGTGTGATGCCTCCAGCTTTTTTTTTTCTGCTTAGAATTGTCTTGGCTATGCGGGCTCTTTTTTGTTTCCATATGAAGTTTAAGGTGATTTTTTTCCCCAATTCTGTGAAGAAAGTCAATGGTAGGTTGATGGGGATAGCATTGAATCTACACATTACTTTGGGCAGTATGGCCATTTTCACAATATTGATTCTTCCTAACTGTGAGCATGTAATGTTTTGCCATTTGTTTGTGTCCTCCCTAATTTTCTTGAGCAGTGGCTTGTAGTTCTCCTTGAAGAGGTCCACACATCCCTTGTAAGTTGTATTCCTAGGTATTTAATTCTTTTTGTAGCAATTGTGAATGGGAGTTCACTCATGATTTGGCTCTCTGTTTGTCTTTTATTGGTGTATAGGAATACTTGTGATTTTTGTACATTGATTTTTTTTTATCCTGAGACTTCGCTGAAGTTGCTTATCAGCTTAAAGAGCTTTTGGGCTGAGATCATAGGGTCTTCTAAATATACAATCATGTCATCTGCAAACAGAGACAATTTGACTTCCTCTTTACCTATTTGAATACCCTTTATTTCTTTTTCTTGCCTTATTTCCCTAGCCAGAACTTTAAATATTATGTTGAATAGGAGTGGTGAGAGAGGGCATCCTTGTCTTGTGCCAGTTTTCAAAGGGAATGCTTTCAGTTTTTGCCCATTCAGTATGATATTGGCTGTTGGTTTGTCATAAATAGCTCTTATTATTTTGAGATACATTCCATCAATAACTAGTTTATTGAGAGTTTTTAGCATGAAGGGTTGTTGAATTTTGTTGAAGGCCTTCTCTGCATCTATGAGGTTTTTGTCTTTGGTTCTATTTATGTGATGGATTATGTTTATTGATTTGCATATGTTTAACCAGCCTAGCATCACAGGGATAAAGCTGACTTGATGGTGATGGATAAGCTTCTTGATGTGCTGTTGGATTCAGTTTGCAAGTATTTTATCTGGATTTTTGAGTCAATATTCACCAGGGATATTGGCCTGAAATTATCTTTTTTAGTTGTGTCTCTGCCAGGTTTTGGTATGAGGATGATGTTGGCCTCATAAAATGAGTTAGGCAGGATTCCCTCTTTTTCTGTTTGGAATAGTTTCAGAAAGAATGCTACCAACTCTTCTTTGTACCTCTGGTAGAATTCAGCTGGGAAACTGTCTGGTCTTGGACTTTTTTTGGTTGGTATGCTATTAATTGCTGCCTCAATTTCAGACCTTGTTATTGGTCTATTCAGGGATTCAGCTTCTTCCTGGTTTAGTCTTGGAAGGGTGTAAGTGTCCAGGGTTAGGGTTAGGGTTAGAGTTGGGGGTTAGGGTTAGGGTTTCTTCTAGATTTTTTTGTTTTATTTGCATAGAGATTTTTATAGTATTCTCTGATAGTAGTTTGTATTTCTATGGGATCGGTGGTGATGTCACCTTTATCATTTTCTATTGCATCTATTTGATTATTGTCTCTTTTCTTCTTTATTAGTCTGGCTAGCAGTCTGTCTATTTTGTTGATCTTTTCAAAAACCAGCTCCTGGATTCATTGATTTTTTTTGAAGGTTTTTTTGCATCTGTCTCTATCTCCTTCAGTTCTGCTCTGATCTTAGTTGTTTCTTGTCTTTTGCTGGCTTTTGAATTTGTTTGTTCTTGCTTCTCTAGTTCTTTTAATTGTGAATTAGGGTGTTGATTTTAGATCTTTCCTGCTTTCTCTGTTGGGCACTTAGTGCTATGAATTTCCCTCTATACACTGCTTTAAATGTGTCCAAGAGATTCTGGTACATTCTGTCTTCATTCCCATTGGTTTCAAAGAACACTTTTATTTCTGCCTGCATTTTGTTATTTATCCAGTAGTCATTTGAGAGCAAGTTGTTCAGTTTCCATGTAGTTTTGTGGTTTTGAGTGAATTTTTTAATCCTGAGTTCCAATTTGATTGCACTGTAGTCTGAGAGACTGTTATGATTTCCACTTTTTTGTTTTTTGCATTTGCTGAGGAGTGTTTTACTTCTAATTATGTGGTCAGCTTTAGAGTAAGTGTGATGTGGTGCTGAGAAGAATGTATATTCTGTGGATTTGGGGTGGAGATCTCTGTAGATGTCGATTAGGTCCACTTGGTCCAGATCTGAGTTCAAGTCCTATATATCCTTGTTAATTTTCTGTTTTGTTGAATATTGACAGTGGGGTGTTAAAATCTCCCACTATTATTGTGTGGGAGTCTAAATCTCTTTGTAGGTCTCTATGAGCTTGCTTTATGAATCTGGGTGCTCCTGCATTGGGTCCATATATTTAGGATAGTTAGCTCTTCTTGTTGCATTGATCCCTTTACCATTATGTAATGCCCTTCTTTGTCACTTTTGATCTTTGTTGGTTTAAAGGCTGTTTTATCAGAGACTAGGATTGCACTTCTTTTTTTTTTTTTTTTTCGCTTTCCATTTGCTTGGTAAATAGTCCTCCATTCCTTTATTTTTAGCCTATGTGTGTTATTGCACTTGAGATGGGTCTCCTGAATACAGCACACCAATGGATCTTGACTTTTTATCCAATTTGCCAGTCTGTGTCTTTTAATTGGGGCATTTAACCCATTTACATTTAAGGTTAATATTGTTATGTGTGAACTTGATCCTGCCATTATGATGCTAGCTGGTTATTTTTGCCCATTAGTTGATGCAGTTTCTTCCTAGCATTGATGGCCTTTACGATTTGGTATGTTAGTTGCTGGTACTGGTTGTTCCTTTCCATGTTTAGTGCTTCCTACAGGAGCTCTTGTAGGGCAGGCCTGGTGGTGACGAAATCTTTCAGCATTTGCTTGTCTGTAAAGGATTTTATTTCTCCTTCGCTTATGAAGCTTAGTTTGGCTGGATATGAAATTCTGGGTTGAAAAATCTTTTCTTTAAGAATGTTGAATATTGGCCCCCACTCTCCACATCTCATTCTGGCTTGTAGGATTTCTGCTGAGAGATCTGCTGTCAGTCTGATGGACTTCCCTTTGTAGGTAACCCGAACTTTCTCTCTGGATGCCCTTAGCATGTTTTCCTTCATTTCAACCTTGGTGAATCTGATGATTATGTGCCTTGGGGTTGCTCTTCTCGAGGAGTATCTTTGTGGTGTTCTCTGTATTTCCTGAATTTGAATGTTGGCCTGCCTTGCTAGGTTGGGGAAGTTCTCCTGGATAATATCCTGAGGAGTATTTTCCAACTTGATTTCATTCTCCCCTTCACTTTCAGGTACACTGCTCAAATGTAGATTTGGTCTTTTCATGTAATCCCATGTTTCTTGGAGGCTTTGTTCATTTCTTTTCACTCTTTTTTCTCTAATCTTGTCTTCTCACTTTATTTCATAGAGTTGATCTTCAGTCTCTGATATCCTTTCTTTCACTTGATCAATTTAGCTATTGAAACTTGTATGTGCTTCAGGAAGTTCTTGTGCTATGTTTTTCAGCTCCATCAGGTTGTTTATGTTCTTCTCTAAACTGGTTATTCTAGTTAGCATTTTGTCTAACCTTTTTTCAAGGTTCTTAGCTTCTTTGCATTGGATTAGAACATGCTTCTTTAGCTTGGAGGAGTTTGTTATTACCCACCTTCGGAAGCCTATTTCTGTCAATTCATCAAACTGATTCTCCATCCAGTTTCGTTCCCTTGCTGGTGAGGAGCTGTGATCCCTTAAAGGAGACGAAGCATTCAGTTTTTTGGAGTTTCCAGCCTTTTTGCGCTGTTTTTTTTCCATCTTTGTGGATTTATCTAACTTTGGCCTTTGAAGTTGGTGACCTTTAGATGGGGTCTCTGAGCGGATGTTCTTTTTGTTGATGTTGAAACTTTCTTTCTGTTTGTTAGTTTTCCTTCTAACAGTCAGGTCCCTCTGCTGCAGGTCTGCTGGAGTTTGCTGGAGGTCCACTCCAGACCCTGCTTGTCTGGGAGTTACCAGTGGAGGCTGCAGAACAGCAAAGATTGCTGCCTGTTCCTTCCTCTGGTAGCTTTGTCCCAGAGGGGTACTTGCCAGATGCCAGCCAGAGGTCTCCTGTATGAGGTGCCTGTCAGCCCCTACTGGGAGGTGTCTCCCAGTCAGGATACATGGGGGTCAGGGAGCCACTTGAGGAGGCAATCTGTCCCTTATCAGAGTTCAAGTGCTGTGTTGGGAAATCCACTGCTCTCTTCAGAGCTGCCAGGCAGGGACATTTAGTTCTGCTGAAGCTGTATCCACTACCACCCTTTTTCCCAGGTGCTCTGTCTCAGGAAGATGGGGGCTTTATTTGTAAATCCCTGATGGGCTGCTGCCTTTTTTTCAGATATGCCCTTTCCAGGAGGACATCTAGTGAGACAGACTGCCTGCAGCTGCTGAGCTGTGTTGGGCTTGTCCCAGTTTAAACTTCCTGACAGCTTTGCTTACACTGTAGGGTTGAAACTGCCCAGTTGAGCCTCAGCAATGGCGGACACCCCTTCCTTCACCAAGCTCTAACCTCCCAGGTCGAGCTCAGACTGCTGTGTTGGCTGCAAGAATTTTAAGCCAGTGAATCTTAGCTTGCTGGTCTCTGTGGGGGTGGGAACTGCTGAGCCATATCACTTGGCTCCCTGGCTTCAGCCCTCTTTTCAGGGCAATGAACAGTTCTGCCCACTGGTGTTCCAGGGGTGGTTGGAAATGTGGCAATCACCCACCTTCTGTGTGGATCTTGCTGGGAGCTGTGCACTGGAGCTGTTCCTGTTCAGCCATCTTGCTTGGGAGAATCCAATAAAGCTCATTTTGATCTTAGACATTTTGCATAATGTGTTTTCATATTCAGTAGAATGGTTTACCTAGTTGATATTTCACATCTGGTTTATTTGTGGTTACTTATTTCACATTTTGTGAGATTCAGTTTGAATTCATTTCATAATGACATTTACTTTTGCACTTTATTTCTGCATTATCAGTCATCATAAACATTGATATTAGTTTTTAGAGAACAGTTTAGAACTTCATGGTCACCACAAGTGTGTCTACTTAACACCAATTGCATCATTTAAGTGAAAAGCATATCATTGAACACTGTGGCATGGGCCAGCTGGCCACATTTCTCAAATGAGAAGAAATTTATTGTTCTACAAAATTGGAAGTACTAGAGATAGTACTCTGTGTGTGTGTATGTATACATACATATGTACATACTTCAAAACTTCCTACTATTGGTTCATTAGCTAACTTGTAATGATTACAGATATAAAAATATATAATATAAAATTTCAGCTAAAATATGTTTTTAAACAATCTATAACTCTATAACATGACTTCCTCAGGAAATTGTTTATTTAGTGTGGTATTGAATCTAATCTTTCTCTTTGCTTATTCTTAGATTTTGTTATTATAACTGTTGATGGCAGTGATGATAACAATGATGATCGCAGTACTGAGACAGTGGAAGATTCTGAAAGAGCAGATAATTCCACCAGTGACACAGCAGATTATTCCACTGATGTCACAGCCATACAACCAAATGTTCCAGGTGCCAGTGGTGACCATCAGCATCCACTCCAAATGTCATATGGTAATTTCGTTAAATTTCCTTTCTGGCAAAATTTTGCACTCCGGTCCCCGTTTCCAGTAAATTGCTTAAATATTCCTGTAACCTTTACAGTAATTAGTTATTACCAGAGGGCTTAGCTTTGTGCTAATACCACAAGGTTTACTTCTGCTTGCATTTTCCCTTCACTTAAGCTTTGCCATATCTCCTTTGTTCTGTGGGAGACAGAATGTTAAGATGTGTTCTTTTATCTAATTTGTTGGAAGAGTTTGAGAAGGATTGGTGTCAATTCTTATTTTTTGGAGGGGTGTCCGGGTGACAGGGTCTTGCTTTGTTGCCCAGGCTAGAGTGCAGTTGTGGCATCTCTGCTTATTGCAACCTCCACTTCTAAAGTTCAAGAGATTCTTTCGCCTCAACCTCCCAAGTAGCTGGGACTACCATGGTGGTGTGCACACCACCATGCCCAGCTAATTTTTGTATTTTTAGTAGAGACAGGGTTTTGCCATGTTGCCCAGCCTGGTCTCGAACTCCTGACCTCAAGCAATCTGTCTGCCTCAGCCTCCCACAGTGCTAGGATTACAGGCATGAGCCACCACACCCAGCCAGTGTTAATTCTTTAAATGTTTGGTAGAAATCAGTGGAGAAGCCATCTGGTCCTGGGCTTTTCTTTACTGGGAAGTTTGTGATTACTGTTTCAACCTCTCATTATAGGTCCATTAAGATTTTCTATTTCTTCTTGAGTCAGTTTAGTTAATTAGTTTTATTAAATTATAAGAACAAATAGTTTTTTCATATAGTAGCATTAAGTAGTTAGAAAACATACAGGACAAAGACCCAATTGATAATGGCTATGAAATATATTTAAATACTCTGAGGAATAAATAAATAAAAATAGCAGAACCTTTATGAAAGGACCACAAATACTGAGGATCATAAAATAAGGCTTGAGGAAGTGGAGAGACACAAATTATCCTTGGATGTGAAAAAACACTCTGGTATAGGTGTGAAAAAAATCTTAGGAAAAAACTGTTTAAGGGACAGGTGGTGATTTACCATATCAAACACTAAAACATTTTAAAGATATAGTTATTAAAATATTATGTTGTTAAAATACAGTTATAAAATAGGGAGCCAGACTTAATGTGATAGAAACTCACAAACAAAACAAAGGATTTAGAGTTAACATACTAGAGTACATTAATACAGGAATGATGGAAAGAAAGTAACATGTTGGGAAAAATGCTTAACTGTTGGGGGGAAAGCCCATTTCATTTCATCTCACCTCATACACTTAAATAATTTTGAGATGGATTAAAGAGTTGAAGACCCAATAAGTGGAAGTATGGAAAAAACTAGAAGAAAATGTTGTTGATTGTTTTTTCTAATCCTAGTGAAATACTAAGTGTAAAAGCAGCTGAAGAAGTAAAAAATGTTAATGAATTTGGCATAATAAACAAATAAAAAAACCCTCCCTAGCTCAAAAAAAAGTCACTCTTCTAAATCACACCTCCACCTGAGAAGGATGTTTGTTGCGATTATACACTTTCAAGGGTATTATCCTTAAGAGAGCAAGACCTCATACAAATCAGACAGGAAACATTGAGACCCCAATTGGGCAGTGAGCAGAACAATTCACAGAACAAGAAATACTAGTGGATAGAAAATGCAAACTTAAATGAGATACAAGCTTTAAACTTTTGTCTATCAAATTAACAGTTGGTAAAAGATAATTTACTCTAGTGATAATGGAGAAAAACCATTGCATTGCAGTTATCTTGAAAGTAACTTAGTACAATCTTTTTGGACTTTTTGGTGGTATCTCACCTATCAAGAGTCCCCCAAATATTCATAGACTTTGACCTAGTGATTCTTCTAGATATCCATTATAAGGAACTGTTCAGAGGCATACAGAAATGTGTGCCTTTGAATGTATACACATCATTATACCAAAATAGTGAAAAATTAGAAGCCATATAAATGTCCCACAGTGGAAAACAGGTAGCAAAACCTCTGGACATCCATAAAATGGAATATTATGCAGGCATTTAAAAATATTTTTAAAATTACAAATGACACACAAAATTGCTCAGAATATATATACAATATGATTCAAAGTATATAAAATATATAAGAAAAATAAATATATTTAAAGGCTACAATATTTATTGCTGTGAATTGCTTTCTCTTTTTATTCAGATTCTGAATTATTTATAATGAGCTGAATTTTTTAGGTGAATTTTTTTTTTGAGACAGAGTCTTGCTCTGTTACTCAGGCTGGGGTGCAGTGGTGTGATCTTGGCTCACTGCAACCTGTGCCTCCCAGGCTCAAGTGACTCTCCTGTCTCAACCTCCCAAGTAGCTGGGATTACAGATGTACACCACCCTGCCCAGCTAATTTTTGTATTTTTAGTAGAGAGAGGATTTCACTTTGTTGGCCAGGCTGGTCTCAAACTCCTGGCCTCAAGTGATCTACCCGCCTCAGACTCCCAAAGTGCTGGGATTACAGGCATGAGCCACCACACCCGGCCATAGGTGAACTTTTTATGGAAATATATGACATACAAAATACGCACACATCGTAAATATACAGCTTAAATAATTTTCAAACTAATTCATGCATATAACCAGCACTCATAACCAAGGAATATAAAGTTATGAGCTCCCGAGAATCCTATCCACCCCCTTTCAATCACTACTCTTCTTTATAAGGTAACCCCTATCCTGACGTCTACCATAGATTACTTTTGCCTATTTTTGAGTTTTATACCAATTGAACCATATGCTATACTCTCTTTTATATCTGGCATTTTTTTCAGAGACAGGATCCTGCTGTGTTGCCCAGGCTGGGCTCAGTTGATTCTCCTGCCTCAGCTTCTGTGTAGCTGGAACTATAGGCACGTGCCACCACATTTGACTTGTGTCTGGCTTTTTTTTTTTTTTAACTTCTTGCTGTGTGCTGCAATAGTTGGTTTATTCTCCTTGCTGTGTAGTTCCTTTGTTTTAATACATCAGATTTTAATTACTTATAGCTTGTATTATAGTCAGAAAAATTCAAACAGTTTAAGGTAAAATTTGGTTGAAGTTACAGCTCAATTTGGAGGTATCTTACATTTTATTATTATTTTGAGACAGGGTCTCACTTTGTCACCCAGGCTGGAGTGCAATGGCACAATCACAGCTCACTGGAGCCTCAACTTCCTGGGCTCAAGCAATTCTCCCACCTGACATCAGTCTTCCCAGTAGTTGGGATGACAGGCACATGCCACCATGCCCAGATAATTTTTTTTTAGATTTTTAGTAGAGATGATATCTTGCTATGTTACCCAGGCTAGTCTCCAACTCCTGAGCTCAAGTAACCCTCCTGCCTCAGCCTCCTAAAATGTTGGGATTACAGGTATGATCCACTGGGTCCAGCCTGGAGGTATTTTATAACTTGATATTTCTATATAACATTTGTCTGCATTTATCTAACTTGAGAGTTAGTTCTCCCATTTTCCTTATCCCCTTTTGATTTCTCTCTTTTGAGCCCTTGGTCATTGGGATCTCCACTATGGAATGAAAGGAAACAGGAAAGAGATGAAACCTGCTTCTCTTAATTGTGCCTCTCATTACTGTCCTGGCTCAGAAAGGTTTTTTTTTTAAATTTTTTATTGCATTTTAGGTTTAGGGGTACACGAGCAGAGCATGCAAGACAGTGCATTTCTGATTGCTGCATAATATTCCATGGAAGGTTTAAGTGAAGTAGCTCTTTCATTAAAGTGTCCCTTGCAGTAACTGTGAGGCAGGCTTTCAAAGTGAACTCTAGTACAAGATATAATCCAATACTGTTGCAGCCAGTGTCTTCTTCTAGTTCCATAGTTAAGTGACTCAGAGCCATAACTGAACCTTCCTAATTCTAGATTTTTGGTTTACATTTAGCATCCATTTATTTAGGCTTAATATAACATTTAATAAGGCAATCCTAACTTGAAAGCTGAAATGGACCTTAGAGATCATCTCAACTGGTGTTAACCTGGCAGGTGAGGAGGTGATGTCTCTAGTGGTCTGCCCAGCCGACATAGTGGTGGGGGCCCTATCCAGAATAGATTCCTGGCTTATATTTTGGACACGATGCTGTCTTCTTTGTCAGGGGCCATTTGGAGCTCAATTACAAAAGCAGTTAGCCCTTGTGTTCTCTTTTTTATTTGTTTCCAGCATTTACTTTGTAGGCTTTAAGTTACTAAGCAGTGACTTCACAGTTTGTAATTGCATTTGATTTGATTCTTATTCCTAGTCATGGGTAATGTGGCCCTTCAGTTTTAAAAGAGTTACTCTAAATTGGCCATGGAAGAATTCTTGTTTTGTCACTCTAAAATTCAACCCAAAGTCCAATTTAATTTGAGTTAGCATTCTGAGAGCATGTCTGTATTAAGGTTATTAAGATGGTAGTGTATGAAATAACATTTTTATGCATTGCTTCACAGTTGCCCATGGTGGCCAAACAGTTTCACAAATGCAACACCTAGTTCATTTAAGAAACACCGCATATTCTCACTCATAGGCGGGTGATGAAAAATGAGAACACATGGACACAGAAAGGGGAGTACTAAACACTGGGGTCTATTGGGGGGAAAAGGGGAGGGCCAGTGGGAGGGGGAGGTGGGGAGGGATAGCCTGGGGAGAAATGCCAAATGTGGGTGAAGAGGAGAAGGAAAGAAAAGCACACTGCCATGTGTGTTCCTACGCAACTGTCTTGCATGCTCTGCTCATGTACCCCAAAACCTAAAATCCAATAAAAAATTAAAAAAAAAAAAGACACAGCTACAACTTAGAGGAAGTGGATTTGCCCAAAAGAGGAAGATTATCTATTCCAGAGGTAGATATTATGGTTTGTTTATTAAAGTGAAAATCTTTCTCTGTTCTTTTCATTCTGCTGTTATTTCTTTTTAAAAAATGGAGTTGAATTTCATGCAGTAAAACGCACAAATTAGTGAGTTTTGATAAGTATGTATACTTACACTCCATGAAGATAATGAACATTTTGTCCAGGTGTGATGGCTCATGCCTGTAATCCCAGCAATTTGGGAGGCCAAGGTGGGTGGATCACCTGAGGTCCGGAGTCCAGCCTGGCCAATGTGGTGAAACACCATCTTTACTAAAAATACAAAAAATGAGCTGGGCATGGTGGTGCATGCCTGTAATTCTAGCTACTCGGGAGGCTGAGGCAGGAGAATCACTTGAACCTAGGAGGTGGAGGTTGCAGTGAGCTGAGAGCCCTGCACTCCAGCCTGGGTGACAGAGTGAGACCCTGTCTCAAAAAAAAAAAAGGACTATAATGAACATTTTCGTCACCCCAGAAAGTGACCTCCGACCTCTTCCCAGTAAGTCTCCATCTCCCTTAACTTTGGGGGAAATACCATTTTGATGTTTTTTTCCATCCCAGTTGAGTTTTTCCTGTTCTAGAACTTCACATAAATAGAATTGTACAGTATGTACTGTTTTGGGTCATAGTCTTTTTTTTCCTTAGAAGAATGTTTTGGAGATTTGTTTCATAGTATTAATATTTTATTCCTCTTCATTGCTGAGTGGTATTCTGTCATTCTGTCATATGAATACTCATAATTTTCTTATCCATTTTTTTTGAGATGTCGTCTTGCTCTCTGTTGCCCAGGCTGGAGTGCAGTGGCGCTATCTCAGCTCACTGCAACCTCCACCTCCCGGGTTCAAGTGATTCTCCTACCTCAGCCTCTTGAGCAGTTGAGATTACAGGTGCCCACCACCAGACCAGCTAATTTTTGTATTTTTGGTAGAGACGATATTTCACTATGTTGGCCAGACTGGTCTCACACTCCTGACCTCAGGTGATCCGGCTGCCTTGGCCTCCCAAAGTTCTGGGATTACAGGCATGAGCCACTGCACCTGGCCTATCCATTCTTCTGATAGACATTTGGGCTATTAGGAGTAAAGTGGCTATGAAAATGCTTATGGCAGTCTATTTGTGAACCTATGTTTACATTTAATTTGGGTAAATATCTGGAAGTGGAAATATTGGGTAATGGGGTAGATGAAAGTTTATGAGAAATTGCCGGTTTTTCTAAGTGGTCGTACTGTTTTACAGTACCACTATATTCTCCTGTGCTTTCTGATCTCTGAAGTTGAATAAAATAGATTATTAAATTATATATAACTTGGCTTAACAGAAAATGCATTTATTTACTTACATAAGGATGTGGATATCAGTGCCATATAAATAGTGTAGGCAATTCTTAACTTCTATCACCCTCAATATTTTAATGTTTTGGGATAATGCTAATTATCTGCCAAGTGTCGTGGTTTTGTACATAATTATGTGAAAGCATTTTGGAAAGTATGAAGCACTATATAAGGGTAAGATGGTAATAGTGTGTTTATAATTATTAATCTCTGTTATAATTCCATACAGTTTTGGCTGTCTAATAAGTTTGTAATGCTGGGCTAATTCGGTTAATTCTTTTTTAATTGTACTTTAGGTTCTGGGGTACATGTGCAAATCATGCAGGATTGTTGCATAGGCACATACATGGCAAGGTGGTTTGCTGCCTCTATCCCCCTGTCACCTATATTTGACATTTCTCCCCATGTTATCCCTCCCCAACCTCCCCACCCCCTGCTGTCCCTCCCCTAGCCTCCTTCCAACAGACTCCAGTGTGTGATGCTCCCCTCCCTGTACCCATGTGTTCTCATTGTTCAACGCCCACCTATGGGTGAGAACATGTGGTGTTTGATTTTCTGTTCTTGTGTCAGTTTGCTGAGAATGATGGTTTCCAGATTCATCCGTGTCCCTACAAAGGACATGAACTCATTGTTTTTTATGGCTTCATAGTATTCCATGGTGTATATGTGCCACATTTTCCTTGTCCAGTCTATCATTGATGGGCATTTGGGTTGGTTCCAGGTCTTTGCTGTTGTAAACAGTGCTGCAGTGAACATATGTGTGCATGTGTCTTTATAATAGAATGATTTATAATCCTTTGGATATATACCCAGTAATGGGATTGCTGGGTCAAATGGAATTTCTATTTCTAGATCCTTGAGGAATCGCCATTATTATTACATGATAATTTTTTATCATGTATTTTGAAATGAAGTAGATAACTACTTGGTACGTTTCTATTAAAATTATTCTTATGGCCCACAATTCATCCTTAGAATAATTATACAGAAATATAATGGTTATTTACTGTCTGTTTACTTATTTATACCGTCTTACTCCAAAAAGTATTTTAAGATGATTTACAGATTAATCTGTGAAGAAAAATAGGTGCTTAAATGTTTCCTGTCTTGTCCACAGAGTGTCACTGTTGGATTATTTGAAAATCAAAAACCATTTAACATTTGGTTCTTTGTTCATGGTTAGAAATATTTCCTTTTAAAGCTGTTCTGGTGCTAGAAGACTCTTGTATCTGCCATGAAGTATATAAACGGTTAAGCTTGATGAAAATGGTGTCTTAAGTGTAGTTGGGTTAATGAGAACACAATTCAGCAACTATATCTTTTCCTGTAGTTGTATGATTTGCAATGGGCAAAGGTCCTTTGATATCACAAATAGGCCTTAGGTCCTTCTTGAAAATGAAATAGAAGTCCTGAACTTTTCTTTCTTTCATATTTTCTTTTGGTTCATTAATACATTTTCCTTAGACAATAACATGAATACTTGATTGTGAAGAAGGTGGAAGTATCATTAATGAATGTATACCAGACTTTGGATCTTTATATAATATTAAACACTAATTGCCAAATATATTCCAAGAAAGAAATTTGGATTCTTTTTCAGTCTTCATATATACTGTAGAATTACTCTGAACTCAGGCTTAAGGAAATATTTCTCTCTCCTGAATCTGTATGCTTCTTTTCATTAAATAATGAACTCTGAAGCGTTTTGTTTCCTTCTTTTCTTTAGTAGGAATTTCACAGCAGTTTTGTACCCAGTTTCATTAGCTTTTCTAATTTTTAAAATAATTAATAGATTTACAGAAGAGTTGCAAAAATATTACAGAGAATTATCATATATATGCTTCACAAAGCTTCCCTTAATGTTAACTTACTTGTATAACTTTAAATTATGGTAATTGTAATAATCACAGCACAGTTATCAGAACCCGAAATGAACATTAGTGTAGTATTATTAGCTAAACTACAGTCCTTGTTTGAATTTTACCATTTCTCCCAATTCCATGTCCTTTTCCTGTTCCAGGATAAAATTCAGTATCCCACATTGAATTTAGTTGTGTCTCCTTAGCCTCTTCTAGTCTGTGACAGCTCCTCATTCTTTCCTTGTCTTTCATGACTTTGACACTCTTGATGACTACTGGTCAATTATTTCATAAAATGTCTTGATCTTGGTGTGTCTGATTCTTTCTCTCGAATAGATAGAGATTATGCATTTTTGGTAAGAGTCCCACACGAGTGATGTTATTTCCTCATTGAATCATATTGGGGGGTACATGGTGTTGACATATTTTTTTATTGGTGATGTTAACATTGATCACTTGGTTAAAGTGATGTTTTCCATATTTTTCCACAGTAAAGTTATTACTTTTGCCCATTGTCCATGATAAAGATTTTGGGTGGCAGGGAATTTTGAGACTGTGCTAATATCCTGTTTCTCTTCAATTCACCGAGATAAGTTAGCATCCATCCATGGATTTTACCTGCAGCAGCCATTATCGTGGCATGTGCCTTATGTTGATTCTCTGTTTCCCTCATTCCTTCTGGGTTTATTAATTGAAATGCATTTGCCAGGATGAGCTGTCCTTTATCTCCCACTTATTTATTTATTCAATTATGTATATTCATATAAATATGGACTCATGGACATTTATTGTATTATATGAGTATAATCCAGTATTATCATTATTTATTCATTGATCAAATTTTCCAGCTTTGGTTATTGGGAGCTCCTTCAGTTGACTCCTATGGCCTTTTGACTTGCCCCCACCTTTTTTTCTGCCACTTGTTTTCTGCCATCACAAGATATTCTAGGCTCAACTGTACTTTTCCTCTTAGCCCTGGAATTCAACTTTTCTCTAAGGAGCCCTGGTTCCTTTAGTTGGAGACTGGTGTTTAGAAACCAAGATCTGGACACTAGGTGTGTTCATTGCTCCTCTTGTGTCATTGATCCTAGGCCTTCTCAGTGGACATAAGGAAATAAATGTAGGTATCCTAATCCATGCATACACATAAACCTATATTTCTATCTCTGTCTTTATATATATTAGAACTATATGTTCATACTGATATTCAGTAGCTTTTCTTAAACCTAGGTTCTTATATAATAACATCTTTGTCTATCTCCTTTATTAATCAACTCTTTTATTCTCATATGAATGTGGGTTTTGGTTTTACTTTTTCTTGGCTTTAAAAGACTCTGAAATCCTCTGGTACATAGGGGAGAAACAAAAAGAATTAAAAATATAAATATTTAAAGTGCTCTTTTTATAGTGCTTACTTTGGCTTCTAGTGATATTAAACATTGACTACTTATTTTTATAATATTAGTAGAACAATGAAGTTTCCTGTGATGAAAATGATCCAAACCATCTTTCTGGATTCCAACACTGTTATAAAGCACGAAGTTCTGTCTCTCAAATGTATTTTTCTGTAATACTGAGCTGAAATTTTCTTTATTGCATTTAATGCCATTGTAATATATATATTTCCTGAGATGAAATTTTGCTCTTGTTGCCCAGGCTAGTGGCACAATCTCGGCTCACTGCAACCTCTACCTCCTGGGTTCAAGTGATTCTTTTGCTTCAGCCTCCCAGTAGCTGGGATTACAGGCATGTGCCACCATGCCTGGCTAATTTTTGTATTTTTAGTAGAGACAGAGTTTCACCGTGTTGGCCAGGCTGGCCTCAAATTCCTGACTTCAGATGACCTCCCCCGGCCCTGGCTTCCCAAAATGCTGGGATTACAGGCGTGAGCCACTGCGTCCTGCTGCCATTGTACTATTAATAGAAACTTTTCTGTGTCAAGTTCTTTATGATTATCATCTCATTGTGATACATTTTTCAAAAGATTTCTAGTTAGAACAGTATCCCAAGGTGAAAAAATTGAAGTAAAAATAATTTCTGTAGCCCCTTCTTTTTTTTAAAACCAAAAAAGCCCATAACTGATCAAATGTGGTTATGCCTCTTTCATCTAGATTGTTTCACATTTCATTTCTCCAAAATAAACCTTAAAGGAAATTGGCTGATTTGGATGAAATTTAGTATGTGCCTGAATGTGTATCAAGATATCTCAATGGAAATAAAATGGCAGCCCATCAAGGTTTTTTTTTTTTTTTGAGACAGAGTCTTGCTCTGTCTCTAGGCTGGCATGCAGTGTCCCAATCTCAGCTCACTGCAATCTCCACCTCCTGGGTTCAAGGGATTCCCCTGCCTCAGCCTCTCAAGTAGCTGGGACTACAGGTGCACACCACCACGCCCGGCTAATTTTTAATATTTTTTAGTAGAGACAGGGTTTTGTATATTTTAGTAGCGACCATGTTGACTAGGATGGTCTCGATCTCTCGACCTCGTGATCGGCCCACCTCAGCCTCCTAAAGTGCTGGGATTATAGGTGTGAGCCACCGCCACCGCCCCCCATCAAGGTTTTGTAAAGAAATATACCTTAGGTAGTTTTGAGGGGGTGTTGTAAGAATTGCCGTGTTTGTAGGGATGTGATTACCAGGAATTTTGTGAGTTATAAGCCAGAGGTAATGAAGGTTGTAAAAAGATAATGTTTCTTGCCATATAATAAGATTTCCTGAATGGAATGAGCTGAAATACTTTGGAAAGTAGAATTGTTTGGGTGTTTATCATGATCATGGGTGAGAACAGAAATGAAGTGCTTTCAAGAGACACATGCATGTGGTTTTGTGGGGAAGTGGATGCAGAGGTGAGCTGGGGACGGAGGGAGAGGGTTCTCCCCAGCCTGCCTCCCCATGCACTGCTACGGAAGGGTACCCCTCAGCAAGCCTGCACGCTGGGGTGGGAGGCAGCATCTGTGGGGGTAGGTGCCCAGGGACACGGTCAGTATGAAATGGCCCCAATGGTTCTTCTCCCAAGGAGCCATCTTTCCTCCTCTGCCCATTCTAGATCACAGGGGTGGCGCTGCAGCCTGCCTTATTCTTTCATCCCAGTTCACTCTTGAGTCCACCTCCATCCTGCTTAGGCTGGGAGCAGAGGAGGATGCCCTCTGCCGGCCGTCCCCTGCCTACCTCAGGCCCCTAGTCCTGCCTCTTCATTCCTGGAGACAGTGGAGTGCCTGGGGCAGTCCTCCCCTCCAAGTCCTCATGTCTATCCCCACAGCCAACCAACTGCCCCATCCCTGCTCTTTTTCTAACCCCTTCCTGACTATTCTAGTGGCCAGGGCTGACACCCTTGCTCTTTCGTGTGTCTGGTTCCCTTCCTGGAACTCAGAGCTGTCCCCTCATTGGTGTCCCTCTGTCTCCTCTGGCTCCAGCCCCTGTTCCTGTCCCCCTTTCCCCTCTATGAGTTCTCACACAGCTTGGAGAAGCCACTTCTCTTGCCTCCCATCCCTGCTTTGCTGTCATCCTCACTCTGCTTCCCATGACAGCCCCGTTCCTGGAATGTCAATTGATACTTGCTGTCTCCACACCTGGCTTCCTATTTTTCTCTGTGGGTATTTTTGAACCCACTGTTCCTTCTGCCCTGTATAAGCCCTTACATGCATCCTCACCTGGCGAGCACCTTCTCATGTTTTAATTCTCACCTCAGACCTCACCTCCTCTGAAAAGCTCTCCATGACTGCCAGCCTGGGTTAGGCCCTCTCTTCTCTGCACGCTTAGCTTCCTGTTCCCGCCTGTGTCACGATGCTGGTAATAACACTAGTAACATGAAGAGACCACTGAGCACTGTTGAACTGGGCATAGTGTAGTGTTGTTTCTGTTAGCATTAACCTAATACTATAGCAATATTCTCATCCTCAAGAGAACCCTGAGAGATTTTCATCCTGATTCCCTACATGAGGACATTGAAGCACAGAGAGGTTAAGTAACTTACCCAGGGTCACACAGCTGGTAAGTGGCGGGACTCTAGTATTTGACCCCAACCATGTTCCCCCCAGATCCTGCACTGTTTACCTCAGTGCTGCAGCCCAGTAGTTCTTACTGGGGGCATCAGAATCACCTGGGGGTCTTGTGAAAACAAAGACCACTGCCCCCACTCTCAGAGTTTCTGGCTTCATAGGTCTGGGGGCCTGGAATTCGGCATTTCTAATAAGCTTGCAGGTGATGTTGATGCTGCCGGTCCATGGACCATTTTGCAAAACACTGTTCCAGCCTGCTAATAACTTTGTCTATTGGAATCCTCTCTTTACTTGTCTCTCCCAGCTGAGATGGCAATTCCTCTGGGACAGGAGCTTTTTTTTTTTTTTAATTTTTTTTTTTTTTGCAGGGCCTCACTCCATTGTGCAGGCTGGAGTGTAGTGGTGTGGTGCAATCATAGCTCACTGCAGCCTCAACTTCCCGGGCTCAGGTGATTCTCCCACCTCAGGCTCCCAAGTAGCTGGGACTACAGGTGCATGCCACCAGGCCTGGCTACTTTTTCGTATTTTTTTTCTAGAGATGGAGTTTTTTTATTTTTATTTTTTGTTTTTAGAGATGGAGTTCTGCCATGTTGGCCAGGCTGGTCTCGAACCTCTAAGCTCAAGTGATCCATCTGCCTTGGTCTTCCAAAATGCTGGGATTATAGGCTTGAACCTCTGCACCTGGCCAGGAGCTTATTTTCAGTCCATGTTCCCAACACCTAGCAAAATAGTTCTGCCAGGTGGCGGCCTTCAATAAACAGTTAGTTGATTGAATGAGAAAATGTTTCTGGCCCTTTGTTTAAGTGTATTTTTTCCCCAAGATTTCTGTGTATTTCAAGAAGAATTCTCAGATTTTTATCAGTCATATGCTTGATTGGCACATAGGGGATGTGTACTCAATGGTTTTGTAAGGTTAGTTGTTGACTGCATGATTTTAAAATATTTGAAGCCAAAAGTCACATCTGTTATATTTGGCTCAATGTTCTTTCTAGAATGGCACACTCACTGTCTATATATAATACAGACTTCATATTTGTACAAGTATAAACTTATATGATACATATGATCATTATAAAGTGAGCCTTTGGCCTTTTAGAAGATTTGAGTGTTTCTTTCCTAAAATAGCACCTTCCTTGATGTACAGTGTCTTCATCATCAATCTGCTGGTGTAGAGGCATTGTGGCACATTCATTTGTCAGTGTTAGAGCTTCCTCAGTGCCTATATGGGGTAGACCAGCAGAGGCAATGTTGGGGATCCTGATCTCAGCCTGTTGGCTCTGTGTCACCTACAGCCAGGCCTCTAATAGGAGCAAGACATTTCTGATGGCTAGAGAACTTTTGTTGTGTCTAGCAGTTAACATTTGACTTAATGGCATTTTCACATATGTTATTTTTCTTTTGAAATATGAACTACTATTTTAAAAATATAATAGAATTTAGAAGATCTTATTGAAAATACAACTGTGCAGGTTGACCATCTTTGTGGAGCTGTTTCAGAAATGCAACATTCTTGGGAGAAACAACCTTTGATAAAATGTGTGTTACAAAAACATTTTTCCAATTTTGATAAACCTCTAGCTCCTAAAGATACCAATCAGTTAGAACTGATAGAGGGCTAGTAACTCTGCCATTATCAAGGCTTTTCTCTACTTACTTTAATAGCAGACAGGGGACTAAAATTCTCTTGGAAGAATGCTGAAGTTTAGATCTGACAGGTTATAACACTGAGTATTTTTATGTTAGTAATTATCATGTATAAAATGTGGAATTGAAGAGCAAAAATCATATAATCAAAGTACAACATTTATCCTTAACAATGGAAAATGATGTTGCAAGGAAAATACATAGGAATGTTTTCTTTTTAACCAACTTTTTAAGCCTCATTTTTAGTTACAGTTGATTTATACCGGGTTGGTGTCATTTTTGAGGTTGTGTAGATTTACACAAAAAAGTTTTGATTGTATGTCTCATGGAGAAATTGAAGTCTAGGAACTGAAGAAAAGAGCTTTACTCATTCTGTTCTCTTACCCTGGATAGGTACATTCTCAGGAAACCTATGCCTGGGCCAGCCCTGCAGGAACATCTTTTGGGTCAGCAGCTTGTTCTGGACTGCAGGAGGAAGACTGCAGGGAGAGTTCATCATATCCCAGAGCTGTCTTCACACATTCATTACAGCAGTATGTTGCACAAGGTAGCTCATTTCCTTGTTTCTATATGCCACATAACTTTATCAGTGGAGGTGCTGAAAGTACCCATGTTGTCATCACATCTGCCCACATTACTACAGCAGTACCTATGGCAGGTCTGCCACCAGGAGTACCCAGTCTGGCAAATAACCCTGATGTGGTGAATTATTCTGCTCTACTGGTAAATGAAAATGTGGGCCTCAGTAGAGCCTCACCATCTTTCTGCGTCAGTCCTAATTTGGGTGAGTTTGAAATGACACATATTACCGATAGCATTGTTTAATCTAGATTTTAAAACACCCTTCATGCAAACTAGTGTTAGTTGTTTTTTTTTTTTTTTTTTTGAGACAGAGTTTCGCTCTTGTTACCCAGACTGGAGTGCAATGGTGTGATCTCGGCTCACCGCAACCTCCGCCTCCTGGGTTCAAGCAATTCTCCTGCCTCAGCCTCCCGAGTAGCTGGGACTACAGGCATGCACCACCATGCCCAGCTAATTTTTTGTATTTCTAGTAGAGACGGGGTTTCACCATGTTGACCAGGATGGTCTCGATCTCTTGACCTCGTGATCCACCCACCTCGGCCTACCAAAGTGCTGGGATTATAGGCGGGAGCCACTGTGCCTGGCAGTTATTTTTTAAATTAAAAGTTTTATCTTGAAACCATCATTGATGCACATGTGGTTGTAAGAAATAATCTGGAGAGATACACTTTCCCCAATTTTCCCCAGTGGTAACATCTCATAAGACTGTAATTGTATTTATTTGTGTGTCTGTGACCTTAGGCATTTTTTAAAAACAATTTTATCACATGAAAAGGTTTGTATGTTCCTGTCATAGTCAAGATACAGAACAGTTCCCTCACCAGAAGGTTTGCTTGTATTGCCCTTCTATAACCAAACCCATCTTCCTTTTCCTTCCCCCACTTACTTATTTCTAACCTTTGGCAAGTGTGATCTCTTCTCCATCTCTATAATTTTGTCACTTCAATATTGTTCTATAATTGGATGCATATAATATGTAACTATTTGGTACTCGCTTTTCTTTACTCGACATAATTGCCTGGAGATTCAACCAAGTTGTGTGTTTCAGTAGTTCCTTTATTGCTGAGTACTGTTCCATGGTTTAGGGTACCATGGTTTAACCATTCATCTATTGAAGGAAATTACTTTCCCAGTTTTCGACTATTAGGAGTAAGCTGCTATGAAAATTCATATACAAGTTTTTGTGTAAATGGAAGTTTTAATTTCTCTGACATCATTACCCAAGAGTACAACTGCTGCTTATATATTAATTGCATGTTTAGTTTTTTTAAACAAATCTTTATTGAGATATTAATGTCTTTGTTTGTGTTGCTATAACAAAATACCATAGATTGGGTGATTGAAAAAGAACAGAAATTTATTTTCTCACAGTTCTGGAGGCTGGGAAGTTCAAGGGCAAGGTGCCAGCAGGTTTGTCTATCTGGTGAGGGCTACATCCTCTACAAGAGAGGAACACTGTGTCCTCACATGGCAGAAGGTAGAAGGGCAAATTTCAAAATGCCATGTGAAGTCCCTTTTATAAGGGCCTCCATCCCATTCATGGGGGAGGAGCCCTCATAGTTTAATCATCTCTTAAAGGCCCCGTTTGTTAATATGATCACATTGGCAACACCTGAATTTTGGAGAGGATACCTTCAAACCTAGCAATTGATAAGTTAAAAACTGCACATATTTAATATACCCAGTGTGATGAGTTTGGATATATGCACATTTAGTTTTATGAGAAACTGCCTAACTATTTTCCAGGGGGAACTGTACCATCTGACATTCCTGCCAACTCTATATGGGTGATCTAGTTTATCTGAACGCATATTTCTGCTCTTTCTTCTGTTCTTTCTTCCTGATGCTCCAAGATTCCTTCTTTCATCATTTTATTTTTTTGATTGAAGATTGTTCTTTAACCTTTCTTTAAGGGTAAGTCTACTGGGGACAAATTCTTTTTGTTTTCCTTTGTGTGTGAATGTCTGTTTCTCTTTCTTTCTTGAAGGATGATTTTGCTTGGTATAGAATTTGTGGGTAAAGTTCTTGTGTTACAGCTCTCGAAAACTTTTTATTATAGAAATGCCAGGAAGACCAGCAACCAGCAATAAAAACAGCACTGAGACAGTGAATTACCCAACTTTAATGGGAAATTACCGTGGCCAAGATACTGTCTCTTCATCTGTCTTCATTCCTCCCTATACTGCTGGGAGCGGTGGCTCACGCCTGTAATCCCAGCCCTTTGGGAGGCTGAGCCAGGTGGATCACCTGACGTCAGAAGTTTGAGACCAGCCTGGCCAACATGGTGAAACCTCATCTCTACCAAAAACACAAAAAATTAGCCAGGCATGGTGGCAGGCGTCTATAATCCCAGCTACTTGGGAGGCTGAGGCAGGAGAATCACTTGAGCCCGGGAGGATGCAGTGAGCTGAGATTGCACCACTTAACTCCAGCCTGGGCAACAAGAGCAAAACTCTGTCTTTAAAAAAAAAAAAAAAGGAAAGAAATGATAAATATTACAAATAGCTCTGTTTAATCTTCTTGATTCACCGGTATTTTTAATGTTAGCTAGTGTGACTCCACATTAAACTTTTTAGTTTGAGATAATTTTAGATTCACACACAGTTGTAAGAAATAATGCAGAGAGATCCTGTTTATGCTTTAGCCATTTTCCCCAAACGATAACATCTTTAAAACGATAGTAAATGATCACATCCAAGGTATTGACATTGATATACTCCACAGATCTTGCTGAGATGTCCTCAGGTTTACTTGTAATTAATTTGTCTGTGTGTATTTAGTTCTTTGCAGTTTTATCACAGGTAGTTTTAATGTCTACCACCAGTGAAGACACAGAATGTTTCTATCACTGCAAGGATGCCTCATCTTGCCCTTTGATAATCACATTCACCTTCCTCATGTCACCCTTTCCTTCCAACCTGCCCCCTCCCTAACACCTGGTAACTATGATCTGTTCTCTGTAATTTTGTCACTTCAAGAATGTTATATTGAGAGTGTTACAGTATGTAATTGGATGACAACTGGGGTATTTTCTATTTTTGGCCAATACAGGTAAAGCTCTATGAACATTTATGTACTGGCTTTTGTGTAAACATAAGTTTTCATGCAATTTTGGGTCATATGGTACTCCATGTTTAGTTTTATAAGAAAATGCTAAAAATTTTTTTCAGAGGGGCTGTTTCATTTTATCTCCTCACCAGTAACATCTGAGTGGTCCAGTTTCTCTGCATGCATTCTGCTCTTTCTGTTCTTTCTTTCTTCCTGATGCCCAAAGATCCATTTTTTTAATCATATCCTTTCTGCATAAATATTTTCCTTTATCCTTCCTTTAAGGGCAAGTCTATGAGGGATAAGTAATCCTAATTTCCTTCATATAAGAATGTCCTTATTGCCTGTTCATTACTTGTATTAGTTCGTTTTCATGCTGCTGTATAAGTCTTTAGGGAATCATACTGACTGAAAAAAAATTACATGCCAAAAGATTCCCTTTATATAACACTCTTAAAGTGACAAAATTATAGAGGCTAGGGTTTGCCAGGGGTTAGGGAACACTCGGTGAGGAAGGAAAGAGTTTCCTAGAAACTCATCCAGGATTTTTTTCTATTAATAGTTTATTCCTATTGCTGAATAGTATTGCATGGGATAGATATACTGTGTTTTGTTCAACTATTCACCTGCTGAGGGACGTTTGGTGGGTGTTTTGTCTTTTTATTTTAGTTTTATTTTTTGTCTATTGGGTGTAAAACTGTTCTGAATCTTCATGTATGCATTTTTGTACAAATGTAAGTTTTCATTTCTCAGTAGTTTCTTCTTTTCTATTGATGAATAGTTCTTTCCTTTCCATGGTACAGATAGGAACAGTTTTTTTTTAAACGGTTCACCTTATTGAAGGACATCTGGTTTTTTCTTTCAATTTTTGGTTATTACAAGTAAAGCCACTTTGAACATTCATGTACTGTGTACTGGTTTTTGGGTAAATATAAGTTTTCATTTCTCTGTCATGAGTGCCAAGAGAACAATTGCTGAGTCTTATGGTAATAGCATGTTTAGGTTTGTAAGAAACTGCCAAACAGTTTCCCAGAGAGGCTGTGCCATTTTATATTTCCAACAGCAATGTATAAGTGATCCAGTTTCTCCACATCTGTGTCTCGGATCTTTCCATTATTCTTTCTTCCTTCCTGAGGCTCTACGATTTTCTTCTCTTGTAGTATGTTTTCTGTTTGAAGATTTTCTTATAGCCATTTTTTAAGGGTAAATCTGTGAGGGACAAATTCCTTTAATTTTCCATTTTGTGAGGATGTCTTTATTTTTCCTTCTTTCCTGAAGGACAATTTCACTCAGTGTAAAATTTACAGTTGAGAGTTCTTATCTTTCAGTATTTGAAAAAGTTATACTTACAGAAACACCAGAAACAGCAGGAACCAATGTGGAAAACAATAATCAGACAGTGAATTACCCAACTTCATCAGGAAGGAGCTGTAGCCAAGGTAATGCCTCTTTATCACCTTCCATTCCTTCCAAGTTTGGTGAGTTTGAAATGATACATGTTACTAGTAGCACTGTTTAATCTCCATCCATCAACATCCCTAATGTAAAATGAGTGGTAGCTTTTTTTCAAACTAAACTTTTAATTTTGTGGTAATTTAAGACATACATGTAGTTGTAAGAAGTAATGCAGAGAAATACTCCTTCCACTTTACCTATTCCTCCCAACAATAACATCTTGCAAAACTGTAACAGAATATCACAACCACAATATTGACATTGATATTATCCACACATCTTATTGATATCTCCCACTTAATTGTATTGATTTATTTGTGTGTATTTAGTTCTACCCAGTTTTGTCACGAGTCAGTTTGATTGTCGCTGTCATGATCAAGATGCACATTTTCATGATTACCAAGATGCTTCATTTTACTTTTTCTTTTTTTTCTTTTTTTGAGTCAGTCTCCATCTGTTGCCCAGGCTGAAGTGCAGTGGTGTGATCTTGGCTTACTGCAACCTCCGCCTCTGGGGTTCAAGCGATTCTTGTGCCTTAGCCTCCTGAGTAGCTGGGATTACAGGCACGAGCCACCATGCCAAGCTAATTTTTGTATTTTTTTGGTAGAGACAGGGTTTCACTGTGTTAGCAAGGCTGGTCTTGAACTCCTGACCTCTAGTGATCTGCCTGCTTTGGCCTCCCAAATTGCTAAGATTACAGGCATGAGCCACTGTGCCTGGATCTGGCTGATTTTTTTTCTTGTAGTTTTGTAGAGATGGGGTTTCATCATGTTGGCCAGGCTGGTCTCCAACTCCTGGCCTCAAGTGATCCACCTGCTTTGGCTTCCTAAAGTGCTAGGATTACAGGTGTGAGCCACCATGCCCAGCGCATCTTGCTCTTTTATTTTTTATTATTTATTTTTTTATTTTTTATTTGAGACGGAGTTTCACTCTTGTTACCCAGGCTGGAGTGTGCAATGGCACGATCTTGGCTCACCGCAACCTCCGCCTCCTGGGTTCAGGCAATTCTCCTGCCTCAGCCTCCTGAGTAGCTGGGATTACAGGCACATGCCACTGTGCCAAGCTAATTTTTTTGTATTTTTAGTAGAGACGGGGTGTCACCATGTTGACCAGGATGGTCTCGATCTCTCGAACTCATGATCCACCCGCCTCGGCCTCCCAAAGTGCTGGGATTACAGGCTTGAGCCACCGCGCCCGGCCCATCTTGCTCTTTTATAACCACACCTGCCTTAGCACGTAACTCCCTGGACATTCATCTGACCGGCTGGGTGTATGAGTGGTCCTTATTTTTTATTGTGGGCACTATTCCATGGTATGGATGTTTCACAGTTGGCTTATTCATTCACTCATTGGAAGATAGCTCGGCTGTTTCTAGTTTTTGACTATTATAAGTAAAGTTGTGATGACCATTGATGTACAAGTTTTTGTATAAATGTCCAAGAGGGCAAGGGCTTGGTTGTATAGTAATTGCACTTTTAGTTTTATAAGAGACTGCCAAATGGTGTTCCAGAGAGACTGTATCACTTTACATTCTCACCAACTTTGTATGAATGATCCAGTTTCTCCACATGCATATTTCTTCTGCTTTCATTGTTTTTTCTTCCTTTTTGATGCTTCAAGATTTACTTTTTCATCATTCGTTTCTGTTTGATGATTTTCCTTTAGCCATTCTTTAAGTGTATGTGAGTTAGTGACAAATACTTTAGTTTTCCCTCATGTGAGAATGTCTTTATCTTCTCTATATTTGAAGGATACTTTTGCCCGATGTAGAATTCATGGTTGAGATTTCTTGTCTTTCAGTATTTGAAATATTTTATTTATAGAAACATTGGGAAAAGCACAAACCAGCTCAGGAAAGAGGTCTGCGAAAACAAATTACCAACCTTTATTACAAAACGACAGTCACCAGAATGTCCCCTCATTATTTCACCGTGTCCCTTGCAATTTTGGTGAGTTTGCAATAATACTTGTTACATGTAGCACTATTTCACCTGGCTTCATTAACATCCATAGTGCAAGATATTGGTAGCTTTTTCTAATTAAAGTTTTTATTTTCAGAAAAATTTAGCTACACATGCAGCTATAATAAATAATACAGAGAAATCTGTGTTTCCATTATCACTTTTTCCCAATGGTAACATCTTGCAAAACTATAGGAAATGATCACAAACAGGATATTGACATGATACCTTCTACAGATATTATTGAGATGTTCCCAATTTCACTTGTATTTATTTGTGTGCATGTGTATTTGTGTGCTTTAGTTAATTTTTTATCATATGTTTAGATTCATGTATCCTCTACCACAGGCAAGCCCCCAAATGGTTCCTTCTTTTTATTGCTGAGTACTACTCCATGGTATAGATGTACCATGGTTTGTTTATCTTTTCAAGCATTGAAAGACATCTGGGTTGTTTCCTGGTTTTGGCTATTAGAAGTAAAGCTGCTGTGAACACTCATATACCATACAGCTCTTATGTGAACACAGGTTTTCATTTCTCTGAGATACTGCCCAAGAGTGCAGTTGCTGGGTCCTATGGTAATTGTATGTTTAGTTTTTATAAAATACTGCCAAGTTGTTTTCCAGAGTGACTGTACCATTTTCTACCCTCACCAGCAGTGTGTGAGTGACCTAGTTTCTCCACGTCTATATTTCTGCTCTTTCTCTTGTTCTTTTTTCCTTCCTGATGCTGCAAGATTCCTTCCTTCATCATATTCCTTCAGTTTGAAGATCTTCCTTTAATCGTTCTTTAAGGGCAAGTCAGCCAGTGACCACCTTTTAAAGTTTTTCTTTGTCTGAGAATGTCTTTATTTTTCATTTATTCCTCAAGGATAGTTTTTTGCCTGATATATAAAACATGGTTGAGATTTCTTGTCTTTCAGCACTAGAAAATGTTTTACATATTGAAATTGTTGTTCAAAACAGAATCTGGCTCACAAATGTGTCCTGGAACAATGAGTAACTCAACTGTTATGAAAAATAACCGTGACCAAGATGATGCTTCAGCATCTGCCTGCCCCACTCCGAAATTTGGTGAGTTTGAAATGATATGTTACAAGTAGCACTCTTTAATCTAGATTGAAAGAATACAGAGAGATCTTGTGTACCCTTACCCAGCTTCCCCCAATAATACTATTTTACACAAATATAATAAAATAGCACAACTAGGATTTTGACAGTGATGCAATCACCAGGTCTATTCAGATGGCCTCAGCTTTTCATGTATTCATTTGTGTGTGTGTGTATGTGTGTGTGTGTGTGTGTGTGTGTGTGAGAGAGAGAGAGAGAGAGTATGTGTGTGTGCGTGTGTGTGTGTCAGTGTATTTAGCTGTCTGGAATTTATGACATCTACGTTCAATCATAAATAAACCTAACTGTATCTAGTCATGATGCAGAACTGTCCCATGACTTCCAGGAACTCTCTTACTGCCTTTTTATAACCATATCCACTCCTTCATGTTATTATCTCCCTGGCCTATCTTTTCATCTTTAACCCATACAACTACTAGTATGTTCTCCCTTTTTATAATTTTGTCATTGTAAGAAAATCAAACACCGCACGTTCTCACTCATAGGCAGGTGTTGAACAATGAGAACACAGGGACATAGAGAGGAGAGCATCACACACTGGGGTCTGTTGCGGGAGGGACAGTGGTGGGGGGGTGGGGAGGTTGGGTAGGGATAACATGGGGAGAAATGCCAGATGTAGGTGACGGGGGTGGGTGGAGGCAGCAAACCACATTGCCATGCGTGTACCTATGCAGCAATCCCGCATGATCTGCACATGTACCCCAGGACCTAAAGTACAATTATAAAAAGAGAAAATTGGACAGATATACCATTTAACATTTTGGGATCGCCTTTTTTCCACATAGCGTAATTCCGTGGAGATTCATACATGTTTTTGTATATATCAGAAGTTCCTTCCTTTTTATTGTTGAGTATTATTTCGTGGTATGGATGTAACATGGTTTGTCACCCACTGAAGGATATTTAGACTGTTATTTTTGGCTATTGCAACTAAAGCTGCTATGAGCACCAGAGTATGGGGTTTTGTGTGAACATAACATTTCATTTTTCTGTGATAAATGCCCAAGAGTACAATTAACTGCTGGGTGATATAGTAATCACATGTATAGTTTTATAAGAAACTGTCAGCTATTTCCAAAGTGGCTGTGCCATTTTACATTCCCATCAGCAGTGTATGAGTGATTCAGTTTCTCTGCATTCTTACCAGCATTTGGTATGTTTACTTTTTTTTTAACTTAGCCATTCTGATAGGTATATGGTAATAATTCATTGGGCTTTAACATGCATTTGCCTTTTAATATGATGTATGACTCTTCATGTGTTAATTTTTTATCTGGGTATCCTCTTTGAAATATCTGTTCTTGTCTTATAGTAACGTTTGTTTTTTTATGCTTATGTTTTGAGTTACTTAATTGAAATGATTATATGATATTTGTCCTGTATTTTGTTCATATGATGTATCACATTGACTGATTTGTATATGTTGAACCATCCTTGAATCCCTGGGATAAATCTCACTTGGTCATGATGAATGATCTTTTTGAGACAGTCTCACTCTGTCACCCAGACTGGAGTGCAGTGGCATGATCATGGCTCACTGCAGCTTCAACCTCCCAAGCTCAAATGATCCTCCCATCTTAGCCTCCCAAGTAGCTGGGACTACAGGCATGCACAATCTTCCTGGCTAATTAAAAAAAATTTTTTTTGTAGAGACAAAATTTTTATATTTCCCAGGCTGGTCTCAATCTCCTGGGCTCAAAGTCTTCCCACCTCGGCATCCCAAAGTACTAAGATTAGAGGCATGAGACCCCATGGTTATCCGTGAATGATCTTTTATTTATTATTTATTTATTTATTTATTTATTTATTTATTTATTTATTTATTTATTTATTGAGACAGAGCCTCATTCTGTCACCTAGGTTGGAGTACAGTGGCGCAATCTCAGCTCACTGCAACCTCCCTCTCCCGCATTCAAGCAGTTATTCTGCCTTAGGCTCCTGAGTAGCTAGGACTGCAGGCATGTGCCACCATGCCCTGCTAATTTTTTGTATTTTTAGTAGAGATGGGCTTTCACCATGCTGGCCAAGCTGGTCTTGAACTCCTGACCTCATAATATGCCTACCTTCGTCCTCCAAAGTGCTGGGATTACAGGCCTGAGTCACTGCATCTGGCTGATCTTTTTAATGTAATGTTGAATTCTGTTTCCTAGTATTTTGTTAAGGTTTTTGCATCAGTATTTATCAGAGATACTGGCCTGTAGTTTTCTTTTTTTGATGTGTCTTTGTCTAGTTTTGGTATCAGGGTAATACTGGCCTCGTACAAGAGTTTGGAAGTATTCTTTCCTCCTCTATTTTTTGGAATAGTTTGAGGAGGATTGGTATTAATTCTTTAAATATTTGGTAGAATTCAGCAGTGAAGCCATTGGTCTTGAGCTTTTCTTTACTAGGAGAATTCTATTTTGACTTCAATCTCATTATTTGTTATTTGTCTGTTAAGGTTTTAGATTTCTTCGTGATTCAAGCTTGGTAGGTGTATGTGTCTAGGAATTTATACATTTCCTCTAGATTTTCCAGTTTGTTGGCATGCAGTTGATCATGGTAGCCACTAATGATCCCTTTGAATTTCTGCGGTATCAGTTCTAATGTCTCCTTTTTAATCTCTGGTTTTATTTATTTGGGTCTTGTCTCTTTTTCTTAGTGTGGCTTAAAGATTTGCCAATTTTATCTGTCTTCAGAAAAGCAACTTTTTCTTTCATTTGATCTTTTGTATTGTTTTCTTTAAGTTCTTTTACTTCTGCTCTGATCTTCATTATTATTTTCTTCTACTAATTCTGGGTTTGGTTTGCTCTTCCTTTTCTAATTCTTTAAGATACATCATTAGGTTATTTGTTTGAAGTTTTTCTTCTTTTTTGATGTAGGCACTTAGTACTGCTTTTGCTCTATCCCATAGGTTTTGGTATGTTGTGTTTCTATTATCATTTGTTTCAAGACTTTTTTCAATTTCCCTCTTAATTTCTTCCTTGACCATTCATTTACTATTTACCACTGGTCATTTAGACCATATTGTTTAATTTTAGGGCCGGGTGCGGTGGCTCACGCCTGTAATCCCAGCACTTTGGGAGGCCGAGGCAGGTGGATCACGAGGTCAAGAGATCGAGACCATCCTGGTCAACATGGTGAAACCCCATCTCTACTAAAAATACAAAAAAATTAGCTGGGCATTGTGGCACATGCCTGTAATCCCAGCTACTCAGGAGGTTGAGGCAGGAGAATTGCCTGAACCCAGGAGGTGGGGGTTGTGGTGAGCCGAGATCGCGCCATTGCACTCCAGCCTAGGTAACAAGAGTGAAACTCTGTCTCAAAAAAAAAAAGCTACAATTAATTACCATATTTTAAATTATAAAAATAATTACAATAATAGTAATTATCATTACAAATGTAGTAATTGTTTTCCAGTGTGGCTGTTCCATTTCTCCACATGCTTATTTCTCCACATGCATTTTTCTGTTCTTTCTTCCTTTCTGATTGCCACTATTCCTTCTATCATCATAACCTTTTTGTTTGAAGATCTTCCTTTAACCATTCTTTAAGAGTAGATCTCCAGCACTTTGGGAGGTTGAGGCAGGTGGATCACTTGAGGTCAGAAGTTCAAGGCCAACATGTCGAAACCCCTTGTCTACTAAAATTACAAAAATTAGCTAGATGTGGTGGTGAGCACCTGTAGTTCTGGTGACTCAGAAGACTGAGGCACGAGAATTGCTTGAACCTAGAGGGTGGAGGTTGCAGTGAACTGAGATCATGCTGTTGCACTCCAGCCTGAGCAACAGAGTCTAAAGAAAATAAAGAGTAGGTCTGCTGGCATCAAATATTTTTAGTTTTTTTTTTTGTCTGAGAGTGTATTTCCCCTCTGTACCTGAAAAACAGTTTTGCTGGATATAGAGTTCTCAGTTGAGAGTTCTTTTCTTTCAGTAAGGTTACCTCTAGACATTTTCATAAAAGTAGATACTGGCGTGGAAAACAACCTCAACACAATGGATTTCTCAACTTTATTGGGCAGTGGCAGTGGCCAGGATTCTTCTTCATCGTCTGTCTGTATCCTTCCCGAGTATGGTGAGTTTGAAATGACACACATTATAAGTGCCACTATTTGAGCTACATTCTTCCACTTCCTTGATGCAAGACAGTAGAAGTTGTGTGTTTCCTATTTTGAGGACAGGTTTGAGGTGATACTCAGAATGATGACTAATGTTTATTAAATGTGTGTTACATGCAAGGCACTGTGCTGAACAATTGGCATGCCTCTTCTCCACTTATACCCATAATGACTCTATGGTGTTGACACTTTTATTACTCCCATCCCCAAGGTCACAGAGCTGGTGAGTAGGACTTCTGGAGCTCTGCCTTAGCTTTCTCTGACTTTAAAACTCATGTTTCTTTTTCTTTTCTTTCTTTTTTTTCTTTTTTCTTGAGACAGAGTTTCACTGTTGTTACCCAGACTGGAGTGCAATGGCACGATCTTGGCTCATTGCAACCTCCGCCTTCTGGGTTCAAGCAATTCTCCTGCCTCAGCCTCCCGAGTAGCTGGGACTACAGGTGCATACCACCATGCCCAGCTAATTTTTGTATTTTTAGTAGAGATGGGGTTTCACCTTGTTGACCAGGATGGTCTCAATCTCTTGACCTCGTGATCCACCCACCTCGGCCTCCCAAAGTGGCCTCCCAAAGTGCTGGGATTATAGGTGTGAGCCACTGCCCCCGGCCTCTTTTCTTTTCTTTTTTTTTTTTTTTTTTTAGTTGGAGTCTTATTCTGTTGCCTAACCTGGAGTGCAGTGGCATGATCTTGGCTCACTGCAACCTCTGCCTCCCAGGTTCAAGTGATTCTCCTGCTTTAGTCTCCCAAGTAGCTGGAATTACAAGCATGCACCACCACGCCCAGCTAATTTTTGGATTTTCAGTAGAGATGGGGTTTTGCCATTTTGGCCAGGCTGGCCTCAAATGCCTAGCCTCAAGTGATCTGCTTGCCTCGGCCTCCCAAGGTGCTAGGATTAGAAGTGTGAGCCACCATGCCTGGCCTAAAGCTCATGTTTATTACCAGTCCACTGTACTGCCTGCCAAGCCACAGTGGCAGAGATGAGGGGCCCCCAAGCTCTGTGGCTTCTAAGGGTAACCGTTCCAAATATTTTATTGTTAGTCCATTTTTGTCTCAACTTCTAAGCAGCTTATTTCTTGTTAATGTCCTAGGGGTCAGGAGACCTTTTCTGTGAAGGGCTAGATAGTATTGTCTGTCACAAATACCCACCTCTGCTGTTGTAACTTAAAAGCAGCCTCAGCCCATAGGCAAATGAATAGAAGTGGCCATGGGCCAGCATATGTTTCACACAGATCAGTGCGGGGATGGGCCAGTGGACTGTAGTTTATTGACCCCCTTCCTAGAGGAGAGCTTATTCCTTTAAATTATTTTGTTACTCAAACTAGAAGACATTTCAAAAAATTGTGGTTTCAGCCAGGCATGGTGGCTCAGGCTTGTTAATCCCAGCAATATGGGAGGCTGAGGTGTGCAAATCGCAGGAGTTTGAGACCAGCGTGGGTAACATAGCAAAACCCCATCTCTACAAAAAATACAAAAAATTAGCCAGGCATGGTGGCATGTGCCTTTAATCCCAGCTACTTGGGAGACTGGGGTGGGAGGATCACTTGAGCCCAGAAGGTTGAGGCTATAGTGAGATATGATCATGCCACTGTATTCCAGCTAAAAAAACAAAATCAGAAATAAAAAGTTGCATCTCTGTATTAAAATGGGCACTCTCATACATTGTTAGAAGTATACATTGGTGCAAACTTTCTGAAAGATAGTTTTTAGAAAAATGCATAAAAACATTTATGCCAGTTGACTCTGTAATCTCACTTCTATCTGAAAGTGTAATAAAAAAATTACATGAAAATTTTATTACAAGAATGTCCTTCACAGAGTAATTGGGAAAAATTGGAAACAAAAAAATGATGATAGAGAATTAATCACTTGACTTCTGGTATATCCACTGCATGTGAGACAGTAAAGCCTAATGGTTGAGGACGTGAGCTCTCACGTCTGCCTGCTTGACTTCAAATCCCAGCTCTGTGTCTTACTAACCTTATGACCCTCAGCCACTTTCCTAACCTAAATATTAGTTTCTTCAGCTGTGAAGTGACAAAAATAATAGTTTCTACTTTATAGAATTATGAGGACCAAGTGGGATAATGCATTTAAAGCTCTTAATGCTTGGGATGTCAGTACAACATAAACGTCACTTGTGAGGAAAATCATGATGACAGGAATGCAGACTTAAAAAAAAGATGAAAACACAGAAATGCTCAAAATATAGTGTTAACTGAAAAAGCAGGTTTTAAACTATACCTAATGTGTGACTTCAATTTGTCTTTAAAAAAAATAGGATAAAGAATGGAAGATGTTAGCAGAAGATTCATGGTTTAGAGCAGCTGACTCATCAACAGATTTTAAAACTGGTTCTGTAACTAGCAGTGTGACCTTTCCAAATAACTTATCTTTTCTGGGCCTCAGTCTTCTCATTTGGAAATAATGGGATAGGAATAATGATAGAGTTGTTAGAATGATGAAACTTAGCTAGTGCATATATGTAAAATACTTAGCACATGCCTGATATGCAGGAAGTACTTATAAACGCTAGCTTTTTTAAAATTTTCTTAATGATTCCCACCCATGCTTTCAATGTTGTCTTCGGAGAACATCCACTCACCCAGTAGAATGGCTCTAGAGTGTACTTTTAGAGTGCGAAATGGAGCAATGGGAACTCAGGGCAACATGTTTACATGTGTACCTGCAGCCTAACAATGACATGTGTTCAAGCTAACGAACAGAGTAGTTCAATACAGCAAGCTCAAGACCAGCAGAAGTGAAGAATGTTGACAGTTTGTCAGATGGTGTCAAAGAGAGCCATTTAAGGAAAAGGAAGAGATAAGCATAGAAAAAAATTCATCCAAGTGGAAATTCACAAATTAGAAATCAGTTTATCGGCACTTGCCTTATTTGAAGGAAAAGAAGAAAGAAATCAGTTTAATTCTCTTGGGTACTTTCAGGGTACCCTTGCATGACAAAACTAAGGATGTTCCTTTTTCTCTGTATTTTTAAAGGCTATCTTGGTGTTCCAAAAAGAGATGTCAAGGTACTTAAAATTCATTTGCTAGCCACACAAAATATGGCCAAACCTAAGCACGCAGCCTGCTACTTGGTTCATATTTTGTTCTCCAAGAAAATTCTTATTAGCAGCTCAGAGGATATCCATTTGAAAGATTACCAATCCCTAAACCCAAACAAAATGGCTGCAATTAGAGGTATATGTACATAAAGTGATGATGGAATCCTATTTTTAATCATCATTTGGTCACATAATGAATGTTATAATGAAGTCTGTATAAATCTTAAAACTATTCATTTTTTTTCACCTGTCTGATCCTGATTTTACAACTTAATAGTATGTAATTGGGGCCGGGCATGATGACTCACGCCTGTAATCCCTGCACTTTTGTAGGCCAGGGTGGACGGATCATGAGGTCATGAGTTCAAGACCAGCCTAGCCAATATGGTGAAATTCTGTATCTACTAAAAAAAATGCGAAAAACTAGTTGGGCTTGGTGGTGCACACCTGTAGTCCCAGATACTTGGGAGGCTGAGGCAGGAGAATCACTTGAACCCAGGAGGCGGAGGTTGCAGTGAGCCGAGATTGCACCACTGCACTCCAGCCTGGGCAATAGAAGGAGACTCAGTCTTAATAATAATAATAATAATAATATAATAAGTAACTGGTAACAATTTCCAAAGAATAAAACTTGTCCGTTGACTTGAATAGTTGAATAAGACAAGCCTCATCTATTATAGTTATTTATAGTTAGTAATAAGTCAATTCTTTAGTCCTGAAACTTGCTACTAAAAAAAAGAAAAAGAAAAAGTTCCCCTCTGCCAAAAGGTGGGGGAATAAAAGACTTGTCAGTGCTAGTGACTAGCAACACAGAAATAGAATTTTATGATTAGTCCTTTTTAGCCTCCTGCCTTCCAGACTTGTGTATTGAGATCCTAGAACTCATGGGTACTAAGGATACTACAATGAATAAGTGTTTCTGCCTACAAGGAACTCATAGTCTAGAAAGGGACATGTTGATAGAAACAGATGCATCCCAGTCCAGTGTGGTAGTGTTGGGGAAGCTCAGAGCAGCTGCTTTGAGGAAGGCTTAGCTAAGGACAGGATGTTTGAGCTGGATTCTGGACTCCTTCACTAGGTAGAGGGAACAGGAGGATGTTCTAGGCAGAGGGAAGAGCTGGGGAAGATAGACATGAGTGAGTGAGCCCCTGGTGTAATCATGTTTGCAGTAACACTGTTTTCTCTTGATATGTTTCCTTTTAGCTCTGATTTATCCACGGAGTTATTAAATGGTTGGAGCACCCTGAAAGAATCAACATTTGGTTACCCACTTATAATTTGTTTTTAGACACAGGGTCTGGCTCTGTTGCCCAGGCTGGAGTGTAGCTGTGTGATCATAGCTCGGTGAAGCCTTGAACTCCTGGGCTCAAGCAATCTTTCCTCCCCAGCCTCCTGAGTAGCTAGGCCCACAGGTGCATGCTACCATATCCAGCTAAGTTTTGTATTTTTTTTCTAGAGATGGGGTCTCACTTCGCTGCCCAAACTGTTCTCAAGCTCCTGGTCTCAAGTGATCCTTCTGCTTTGACCTCCCAAAACACTGGGGTTACAGACGTGAGCCACTGTGCCTGACCTACATACTTTTTTTTTTTTAGAGCACCAACAGCTCAATATTAGCTCCCTATGTCAGTATTTTAGGGGATCTCATGGTAGGGGAAATAATTCAGCAAAGCATCTTCACTGGGTGGAATTTCTAAACTCTCAGAAAGAATAAGAGAAAAGGATGAGAAGTAGAAAGAGAAAAAGTCAGTATTTAAGAGTCCAGAGTGCTCACCATTACACAATGGAACCATCTAAAAGTCAGTATTTAACTAAAACATTTTTTTCGTTAGTTTGTTAATTTTTTTCTAATTTTCTTGAATACTTTCTCCTTTTTGCAGAATATCTGGCAATAGTTTTTCCTACCTGTGATTTGCATGAACATGGAAAAGACTGGCAAGACTGTATTTCTGATATCAGTTCTGTGATCTACTGTTTATGTTCTGAAGCCAAGATGACTCTAGTAAGTTATTTTTCATCTAAATATGGTAACTGTTGCCTGAGTTTGTACTGTGCGCAGCTCCAGAACTGATAGCGTGACGTACAGGCTCTTCAGGCCATGTGCTAAAAATCTCATTAACTTAATTTAGGGGGCATGGGATGTTCTTTCAAAAGCATACTTCATGTTTATTTTACTTTTTTGATATTTATGCTCTATAAAAATATCCTAAAGATAAATCAAATAAAGTGCTATAATTAGTATATTTGAAGCCAAGGATAATACTGGAAAAAAATTTCAGCTACAAAGATATTCAGCAAATCTTTTTCAGTATCTCACTGAGAAACACAAAAAGGAGCTAGGTGTGTGCTTCTTGGCTGTTTCAATGGTAGCTGAGTAGATGCAGGGGAAAATGCAGGCACTTCATTACTTGTTCACTTTCAGTGATGATGGAACTTGGTGAAAACAATGCATGTCATGAGTTAAACGATTACAGATATTGTACACTCTGTATAGTTATGTGGTAACAGAAATCTAGTTTCTCTCTCCTCCAGACTATCTTCAAAGTACTTTAGAGATTTTTGTTTTACCACAACTGGGCCATTAGGGAAGAGTGTCATATCTGTTGTCTTCTAATGAAACATGTATCTTAATGACAATTCTTAATTTCCACCAACCCCTTTTTCTTCTAGCCATGTCTAGTCACTCCTGTGTCTCTAGAGTAAGTTTATGGAAACAATTTGCCAAGAATATTTGTAGCTGAGCGTATGTTTTCCTGGTGAACGGGTTGATTTCAGTGATAGCTCAAGCACCATCTGCCTGAAACCAAATCTGCTTATTTTTAACATTCCGTTTTATAGCCTTCAAAAATTGCACCCTAAACAATTTGAATGTAAAATTAAGATACTGCCTGGAAAATGGTAATTTGCATATTTGCTTAGGTGTCAGAAGAGAAGAGAAGCAGTGTCTGCCAAAGGCCTGCTGTGTGCTTGACTGGGAACAGAACAGGTCCTTGCCACTCAGAGTGGGTTTACAGCCCAGCAGCAGTGGACCCCTGGCAAGCTTGTGAAAAATGCAGAGTCCTGATTCAGAGGCAAAATTTGCATTTTAGCAAGACCCTCCTCAACCTCTGTCCCCCGCCCCGCAGCGTTCTCCCAAGGCGCTGTGTGCACACTGAAGTTCAAGAAAGTCTAACCCAGAGCAGTGATTGTCAACCCTGGATGCATATTAGAGTCAAACGAGACACTTAAAAAAAGTTACTACTGCCTGAGCTCCCCGCTCCCACCGCCAGAGATTCTGGCTGAATTTGCCTGGGGTGGGGCCCAGCACAGCCATTTGTTTTTACAGATCCCGAAGATCATTCAAATGTGCAGCCAGACTTGAGAGCCACTAGGAAAAAGAAAACAAAACATGAGAAACAAAAAGTGGTCATGCCCAAGAAACTCACTGCTTTGTTTATTCAAGAAATGTTTATTATGCACTTAATTTGTACTGGCAGTTCTCATTCAGTTCCGTAGACAGAGCTACTAAGTTCTCCAAGAAGCGGAGGTCATGACAACTTGAGGAAGAAGCCACCCCTTTCTTTCTTTCCAGATAGTATTGTGACACACAGTATTCCTATGGATTCAGCCTACCTTTTTAAGAGGCAGTTGCTTCCCTAGCAACCTGGGGGACCTGGTAGGTGGTAGAACAGACATATTTTCTTGGTATGGGACTTTGTTTACAGATATGGTTTTGTGTTTCAACAGAAAACTATTGGCCAAAATAAAAACCCTACCAACCCTGTTGCACTGGCATCAGCCAGTAGAAATGACCAAAGGGACAGAGACGCTGGTGAAGGCAGGTCTTGGATGTTTCCACCAACGAATGACTCTGAAATGAGAGAAAATGAGAATTTGCAGCCAAATAGTAATGCTATCCCTGAAGAAATGCAAGAACCTTCCACTGGTAACCCAGAGGAATCTAGTGAAGCATTGAGTGAGTTTTTTAAAAACATATTTTTAAATAAGTTCTCTTGCTGATAAATGTTGTATCAGAGTGATGCATTTATGGGGCTCATTGTACTATTCTCTCTACTTTTATGTGTGTTTAAAAAATTTCATCAGAAAGTGAAACAATTTAATGTCTTTTATTAATGAGTTAATGAAATATATAGGCACATGGTTCTGAGACTGATTGTTATTTTTCCTATGGAAAGCAGCTCTTTGCCGACTCACTGGACCATGTGAGCTCTGATAAGGGACTGTCCTCCATGGTGAAGGGGAGGGGCTGCAGCTGAGATGCACTTCTTGTTCTCTGCATGCCTGGGACATTGCAGGTGTGCAGTAGGATTTTTGGCACGAATTTGTGAATCTCATCTCTCAGAACATTGTGCTCCCACTGCTAAACTGTCTGCTAACGGCACCTCCTGCTTTGATGGGTGTCAAGTGGCAGTGGTTCAGTAGTGACTGTGCCACCTGCCACTTGTGCTTCCCAATGCATCCTCCCAGGGTGCTGGGCTTTAACATCACCCATACCAATGAGCGACACCTGAAGTAGCAAAACTTTATTCTGTCTGTACCCTGCCCCCATGTTAACCCTAAGTAGAATACTACCTAGGATCCTGTTCAAACAAAATTATTGACATGTTGTATCTTTATTTTTTCCATTATAAAAGTAATCTAACTACTGTATTTGTTAAGATTGTACACTAGAGACACAGACTGGATAAATTAAACAATAACACAAGTCACTGGTTGAATAGTTCCTGTATTCAAAGAAGCAAAGAACTGAGTGAGCCTCAGCCAGGCAGGCAGGATCTAGAGCAGCCCCTAGACTGTGGGGACTTGGGCCACATGTCTCTAACCCTGACTCAGCTATAACGAGGGGACAGGGCGACTAAGCCTGCTGTGAGCCAAGCAGTCACTGCAGTGTGTGTGGAGTCTGTTATGCCATTTTATTTAAAAAATTGGAAAATATTTTTAAGAATGGGGGGAAAAACTCCCACAATCAAAATACCTTAAAAAACCATTGTGGACATTTTCATTTCCCTTCAGTTTTTGTTTTCCTATGAACATTTTGAAACATTATGATTCCCATATAATTACTCTCCTTCTCTAACATTATAATATGTATCTGTTTTTTCTCAAGAATCTGCAATATTCATAATCATTGCTTCTAATAGGATTATAGCATTCCATTAATTAAGTATACCCCAATTTATTTAATTGCCTCCTTCTTTGTTTCTGTTTGTTGTTTTTTCATTTGAGGGTTTTTTTTGGAAGGGGAATATAAATCAGTCTGCAAAAAAACAATCTTCATTCAGATAGATTTTTTTTTTTTGAGATGGGATCTCGCTCTGTCACCCAGGTTGGAGTGCAGTGGCATGATCTTGACTCACTGCAACCTCCACCTCCCAGTTCAAATGATTCTCCTGCCTCAGCCTCCTGAGTAGCTGGGGCTATAGATGTGCACCACCACATCCAGCTAATTTTTTTTTGTATTTTTAGTAGCGACAGGGTTCACCATGTTGGTCAGGCTGATCTCAAACTTCTGATCCACCTGCCTCAGCCTCCAAAAGTACTGGATTACAGATGCAAGCCACCACACTTGGCCCATTCAAAGAGACCATACGTCGGATTATTATCTTAGGTTGGGTTCTTAGAAATTGAATTACCAGGTTAAAGAGTATTAACCGTTTTTCCTGACCCTTGATATATATTACTAGGTAAATCTCCCAGAGTTAAGTCTTTGGACCCATTAAATGTGTTTCTAAATAATCTCTTCTGCTAAATGTTGAATCTGGATGATTCAACAATTTTTATTGCCACCTATTAAATGATGGATGTTCTAAGATGAAGAATATACTTATTGATTTATAATAATTATATTTTTCTAATATATTTTCTTTAACAAATAATTTATTACATGTAAAATATAATATTTTTTGAATACAGTTAATTTGAATCACTGTGGACTGGAGAGATGATTAATCTGTAGAGTTGAGAAACGAAGTCTTAAAACTTATTTTTCACTTCAAATAAGGTATTTAAGATACAATATGTAAAGTGAACCAGCAGTTTGTTGATTTTAAAATGAATTTAATACTAAATAGAAAACCTACATTTTAAAAATTATAACTATTTCAGGAAGAATCATGGAGCTTATTTTTGAAAAAGTATTTCTTGTAAGTAGGGAAACAATGTATTAAATTACTTAGAATTTGTTACTAAATGTAATTTTAAAACTTACTGTATCCTAAAAGATAACAGCATATTAAATCTTCTTGTTGAGCCATGGTAGCATGTGTAATCACAGTTCTTTCTACCTCATTTCTCATGCTGTCTCATAATGCACTAAAAATGTAAAGCTTTAGGCTGGGCATGATGGCTTATACCTATAATCCTAGCACTTTGGGAGGCTGAGGCAGGAGGATCGTTTGAGCCTGGAAGTTTGAGACCAGCCTGGGCAACAAAGTGAGACTCTGTCTCTACAAAAGATACAAAAATTAGCTGGTTGTGATGGAGTGGGCCTGTAGTCCCAGCTACTTGAGTGGCTGAGCTAGGAGGATTACTTGAGCCCAGGGAGGTTGGGGCTACAGTGAGCCATGATTGTGTTACTGCATTCCAGCCTGTAAGGCCTTAAATCTTTTAACCTCTCAAATTCTTGAGCCTAACGATTCAGAAAAAACAATCTTTCTGTTTCAGACGTTAAAAAATAATGTAACCTAATATCTACTATGAAAATTGACATCTTTCTCCTTTGCTTCTAGGCTATTTTGGAAATTCACGCAGAAATATACTGATGCCACGTTCAGTACTGACTGTGGCAAAAGCTAGGCCTTGCGCAAACCTGTCGGCTAGATACCTTATTCACAAACTCTTCACAGAAGATGTCCTGCTCCAAAGTAATGTTTACGGCAGTCAAGGGCGTGGCCTATATCCCCTTGATCCCAATAAGATTCAAGCTCTTCGAGGTTTGTTACATGTAGAGTATGTCTGAATGAATGAAAGCCAATTGTGTTTAAGAAAAGGGCAGAAAGAAGAATCCATTCAGGTTGTGTTTGTTCTGAGGAGAATGGAACTTTTACTGAGTCCCTCATTAGAGTACAGCAAGGAGCAAGATCATGAATTGTATTTCTCGCTGCATTGGTTCTTAGGGCTAATTGCTCTGTCTTGAATGGCTTTACTAGAACAGGAAAGGGGTTATTGACTGTGGGTCCCTGCTAGGGACTGCCAGGAGTATGGAAATTCAAAACACCTTCATTGACTGAGGAACAAGGTCGAAGCTAAAGGGTTTCATCCATTTGCAGAAGTGTCAACAATAGCACAGAAGGTTAATTTGCTAAGTTGTTCTTATGCACATTAGCTTAGTATAGTCTCTGTGACATATGCAAATGAAGTAATAAAGCTTCTAAAAACTTCCTGTGGAATCTTAAATTTGGACAAAGCAGGAAGCAAAATATTTCTTACTTGTGTCACTGGTACCCAGCAAAGATGTAGCGCTGATCTCAGGTGGTTCCTACCTTCATATCATACATTTTCTTTTTTTTTTCTTTTTTTTTTTTTTTTTTTTTGAGGCGGAGTTTCGCTCTTGTTACCCAGGCTGGAGAGTGCAATGGGGCGATCTCGGCTCACCGCAACCTCCGCCTCCTGGGTTCAGGCAATTTTCCTGCCTCAGCCTCCGAGTAGCTGGGATTACAGGCACGCGCCACCATGCCCGGCTAATTTTTTTGTATTTTAGTAGAGACGGGGTTTCACTATGTTGACCAGAATGGTCTCGATCTCTTGACCTCGTGATCCACTCGCCTCGGCCTCCCAAAGTGCTGGGATTACAGGCATGAGCCACCGCGCCCGGCCCATATCATACATTTTCATAGCCAGTAAATTTGAACGGCACTGGTGTTTCAGACTAAAGAAACCTGGTTTTCAGCTAATGGCTTTTATGAGCATTTGTTATCATCTAACCAGTTGTTTTCAAATCTTGTTTTTTACTGCAACCCATAATAAGAAATATATTTTACATTGTGACACAGTACATGCATCTGTGTGAGTGTGACTTTTAAAAACCGAAGCAAAAGTTTCATAAACAGTACTTACTCTGAGTGTTACATTCCAATATTTTCTTTTCCATTACATGTCTTTCAAGTACTCCTGTCACTGGTTTCACAACCTGGTAATTGGTCACAATATGCAATTTGAACATCACTGAGCTCACCTACTAGGCAAAAAAACTAAACTCATTTTCCCTTACCTTATGGTAAAAAAAGTTTGTAGGCAATTCTGAAATGAATGTGTTTATAGAAGAAATAGTGTCTTTCTAATTATATTTTTTTAATGTGGGGGAAAATAGATGACTTTTACAGTTCTTTAATATCTGGAAAAGGTCACTTCTTTAAAAGTTGATGAAAAATATTTTCCTAAGTCTTTTATCATTTTATCTCTCACTGAATGATATTAAAAGCTGGAAGTTGTCTTTTTCAGTAAACAAATATTCAGCATGAGTTTGACATATTATCCACATAGGGAAGATTTTAACAAATTTCTCCTAAGACTCAAAGTTCTGTTGCTTTGTAGAAGGGCAGTCACTTGAGTTATTTCAGCAGAAAGAAGACAGTAGAGTCATTGTTGTCCCAAGGGGCAAAGCCAGCCCCAAAGAGTAGAAGCTGACAAGAAAGTCTATTTTGCTTTAATATAAAGATAAAATGAACTTGGAGGAGGAAGAGTCAGAGCAAGGGGTAGGTGACAAGATATGAGAGGAGAGACCTGCACTCATGGGAGGACTGGGCTTATGACCCCTCATGGTTTCTGTAAAAGTATTACTTCATTCAAAATAAATTCAAAAATACAGAGATGTATGGAAAATAATATAATGCCTATCTACCCCCAGCACCGATAATAGACATTTCTTGTTTTGTGCTCCAGGATTTTTTTTTAAATAATAAAGCATTACTGATATAATTTAGACTCCAACTCATCATCCCTTTCTTCCTCTCTCCTGCTCCCCAGAAGTAATCACAGTCCTGGAGTAGGATATATCATTCCCATGTATGTTTTATACTCTTACTACCTATGTCAGTAGATCCACAAATAATATATAATATTGGGCCGGGCGCGGTGGCTCAAGCCTGTAATCCCAGCACTTTGGGAGGCCGAGGCGGGTGGATCACGAGGTCAAGATATCGAGACCATCCTGGTCAACATGGAGAAACCCCGTCTCTACTAAAGATACAAAAAATTAGCTGGGCATGGTGGCGCATGCCTGTAATCCCAGCTACTCAGGAGGCTGAGGCAGGAGAATTGCCTGAACCCAGGAGGTGGAGGTTGCGGTGAACCGAGATCGCACCATTGCACTCCAGCCTGGGTAACAAGAGCGAAACTCCGTCTCAAAAAAAAAAAAAAATAATAATATAATATTGTTATATTGTTCTGAGTTGTTCTTTTCTTTTCTTTTTTTTTTTAAGATGAGGTCTCGCTCTGTTGTCCAGACTGGAGTACAGTAGTGTGATTGTGGCTCACTGCAACCCTGTACTCCAGCCTCAAAATCCTGGGCTCAAGCGATCCTCTCACCTTGGCCTCCCAAAGTGCTGGGATTATAGGTGTGAGCACTGCACTTGGAATCTAGTTGTTTTAATGTACATAAATGGGGATGTGCAGTAATCTTTTTACACATTTAAAAATCACTCATTATGTTTCTGACATCTGTTAATGCATTTGAACTGCTGATTCATATCCCATTGAATGAATAAACCAATTTATTCTTCTATTCTAATATAGTTTCTTACCCTAATATTTTGTTATTTGGGGGAAATGCTTCTGAAAATTAGTAGTCAAAGGTAACTCAGTCCAGGAGCCAAAGGTGTTGATTCCATATAAAGAACTATTATCTGAGGCTCTCTGATTAGAGTTCAGTGTCATTTAAGGGCTCTTAATTGATAGGGAGGAAGTTAGTAGGCAGATTTGCAATTAGTGAACAACCCTCACTCCTTAAGCCCCCATCCATGTCTTTACATTGCAGAACTGTCGAATCTTAGCAATAGGAAATACTTTACAGGTCCTCTAATACACCCAGAGCAGGAACTCCCATTTCAACTTTGACAGAGTCACTTCCCCTGGCCTTAAATACTTCCATTGATGAGGTGCCAGCTGTCTCAGCTCCAATTCATGGGAAAGTTCTTCCTTCTAGTGACTCAAAAATGTATCCTCCCTTTTAAATGATAAACATTTCTCGTGGTTATCCCTTTTCCACCTAAATAGAGTCAATCCAATCACTTTTCACAGACTGGGCCTTCAAGTAGTTAATGACAGCTATCACTTCCTGCTGGAGCATTAGGAGATCATAAAGACACTCCCTTTTAAGTTCAGAACCCAGTGAAAGATGGCCATGCCATTTAGGCAGGTGGAGATAAAAATAGCAGCTTTATTCTTCAATCATACATGTCCCATTCATCTCAACTTTCTAACAGAGGTCTCTCCACATGGAAGCATGAGGGTTGGGGAGGAAATGTTCTACCCAACCTTGTCCCTCTTAAGCCTTACACTTTTTCAGTTAAATATTAACATTTCCCTCCAGAATTCCTCACATATGTGTTGCCCTGATCCTTCATGATTTGATTAAATGACTGCCTTTAGATGTGCTTAAATCCACCCAGGTTACAACAGTATGACCTATTAGGCTGTTAACACAGCCTCAAATGGCACATGCCATTTAAAATTACAGTCAGGTCGGGCACAGTGGCTCATGCCTGTAATCCCAGCCCTTTTGAGAGCCCAAGGCAGGAGGATGCCTTGAGCTCAGGAGTTTGAGACCAGCCTGGGCAACATGGCAAAACTCTGTCTCTACAAAAATTATAAAAATTAGCTGGGCACACGCTAGCTGCTAGCTACTCCCTAGCTACTTGGGAGGCTGAGGCGGGAGGATTGCTTGAGCCTGGGAGGTTGAGGCTGTAGTGAACCATGATTGTGCCACTGCACTCAAGCCTGGGTGACAGAGTGAGACCCTGTCTCAATAAAATAAAATGGAATAAAATAAATAAAAGTTATGGTCACCTTAAGACCCCTAGATCTTTCTTGCTATAACTGACATTTATCTAATACTTATATTGTTAGTATTCAGGCTGTTACCATTTATACTGCTAGTACTTTTCAATGTTAATTTAGGAAAATTATAATTATATTTATTGCTGCATCATATATTGTCAGTGTAAGTCAGCATTCCCTAAACTGTGTTTCTCAAATTCAGCTAGATGTTAATAGGTGCTTCATGAAGTCCCTTCCCTTCCCTTCCCTTCCCTTCCCTCCCCTCCCCTCCCCTCCCCTCCCCTCCCCTCCCCTTCCCTTTTCCCTTTTCCCTTTTCCTTCCTCTCACTCCATTGCCCAGGCTAGAATGCAGTGGTGTGATCACAGCTCAATGTAACGTCAACCTCCCAGGCTCAAATGATGCTCCCACCTCACCCTCTTGAGTAGCTAGGACTACAGGCATGTGCCACCACACCTGGCTAATTTTTGTATTTTTTTTTTTTTTTTTTTTTGGTAGAGATGTGGTTTCACTATGCTGACCAGGCTGGTCTTGAACTCTTGGGCTCAAGCAATCCACCTGCCTCAGCCTCCCAAAGTGCTGGGATTACAAGCATAAGCCATGGTGCCTGGCCTCGTAAAATACTTTTAAATTCAAATGGCTAGGAAAGACCTTAAGCAAGCACCCCAAGGGCCTCAGTCAATAGATGGGTTTCACTTGACTGGCAGTTTCTTTTATTTTGGAGACAGGTCTCATTCCTGTTGCCCAGGCTGGAATGCAGTAGCTAGATCATGGCTCACTGCAGCCTTGACTTTCCATGCTCAGGTGATTCTCCCATGTCAGCCTCCTGAGTAGCTAGGACTGCAGGCATGTGGCACCATGCCTGGCTATTTTTTTTGTATTTTTAGTAGGGATGGGATTTCACTATTGTTGCCCAGGCTGGTCTTGAACTCTTGAGCTCAAGTAGTCCGCTCATCTTGGCCACTGTGCCTGGCCGACTGTCTGTTTCAAAACATGTTTTGAATGCCTTTAGCCATCAAGCCCACCTTGATCTCCCAGTCCTGACCCCTGACCCTCTTTTGTCCTATACGATGCCACCTCCCTCATTTATGCATCCCACCAATGTGGCTGCCTCTGTAACATTTCAATCAGCAAAAGGAGGCTCCACTTATCTTTACTGTGGGATTTTTCAGAGCCCTGAATATGCTTGCGTGTGATCTAAATCCTCAAGTGGTGACTAGCTGCGGAAGGTAGCATTTTCCATTTGCGCAACTGGAACCTTTTTCCCCAAGAAACTTATTTTATGACTAGTGTTCCAGAGAACACATTTTGGGAAACACCAGCCAATTTAGGGTACTTGTTGCTACCTGTTGAAAGCTTTGCAAGCGCTGTGTTTGTCTTCCAGTGTGATAATCATTCCTCCCAGCTTTGCTGTTGTGGGCAGATGGGACAAACATTTTTTCCAGAACTTATTTTTGGTTAATAAAATGTTAGCAGGATAGAGTGGCATACTGAATCCAGTGACATACCATAAAAGCCTTCTTCCAGCCTACCACTGATCCATTAATTTAATTAGTCCTTTGAGTACCAAAGCCTTTTAACCTTGACACACGCTTTGCTAAAAAATTTGGATATATGTGATGTTTATGGCATTGTCTTCATTTATTAGCCTTCTAACCCTATTTAAAAACATGAGATTAATGTAGCTAACAAATGCTGACCTGTAGGAATCACCAGATACTTTTCTAAGGGCAGAAAGGCACTTAGGCGATTACCTAATGATGTGTCTGAGGGCAGCCCTGCTCTTCTAATAAGCACCTCTCTTCCCTACCTTTCTCCGTGTCTGCACTTTCTCTAAGAGTGCTCTTTGAATTATGTTACTCTGTCACCTTCCCTTATAGAAGTCTTCCTCTAACTGCAAGATCTAAAGACCCTTATTCCTTTTATCAGAGATAAACCCAGCAGTACCAAAACCGTTAGCAGTTGCAGCTTCTTCCCTCTCAAAGGAAGATGACACTGCAGCCTCTTGTTCATTGCAGAGGCTTAGCATGTCTCTATTTGAGCTGATTAGTGACATGTTAGATGCTTGTTTGATACTTTTGACAGTAACAAAAGTTGATCCTGGGTACTCAAGGCAGCAGAAGATTTTTATTCTCGTATGTAGCAAGGTCAAGGGAGATTGTTGCTTTATTGTGATTTAAGCTTGGTGCTATTTCATATTGTTCTCATTTTAGATTAAAAGATTTGTTCAGCTAATTTAATAATGATTATAGCCCACATGTTTTAATTAGTTAAAATCTTAAGAGAAAAAAATCTTAAGGATCCTTTCACAGACACAGCAGTAGATTGAAAGTTGAATAAATTGGTTTCTCTAAGAAGTGATTTGCAAGTAACTGTTATATTTTGGGCCTTTACCACCAGAGTTCCTCCAAGAGAAACCAGATAGTGATCTCTCAGAAAATGGAAGTGACTGGAAGTTGTGTGTGGCCTCCATCAACAGCAGTATCCGTAGCCTCAGACATAACATCAGAAGTTCTATAGGCAAGAAGCAGTCAGTGACCCTTCCAGAGTTGGAGCAGAAGTCACAGCCAAGAGATCCCAATGCCACTGACGGAAGCATCTGAACAGCAGCTGCTGAACTTTTTTTTTTGTTTTTAAACTGTTAAGATTATTTTGTAAGTTTCTCAAGTTCTAATTCCAAAATCAGCCTGCTGCAGTGGTAAAGAAGTTGGCATTTACAGTTGTAGTTAATTGCCAAACCTCTTTTTCTGCTTGTAAGGGTGGTCGAAATACATTAGGAGATACGTAATGTTTCATCTGTGGATTTGATGATAGCCTCTGATTGAGGGAATGGTAGTAAACTCCTCATGGGCTTGTGACCCATGGCTTTGTATTGGTAACTGACGTTAATACACTTTGCTTTTTTGATAAGGTAGAGAAAGAAATTCAATAGAAAGTAAGGAGTCGGTCAGCCAAATAATATAAAATGTTAGTTTTCATTGCTGTTGAATGTGGGATGAGAAGAGCAGTACACTTAGCACATAATGACAGATGACATCTGAGTGTCAGTGAACAAAGATAGGTAGGGAGCTGTGGGAGAGGCACTGGGAAATCCTTGCCAAGTGTAGAAATTTGCAGGCAGTAGACACTCAGTATCTGCCAGGTTCATCGTAACCACAGGGCTCAGGTCTAAATGCCGCTAACTCAGAAGCGAGATATGATTTACATATAACCAAAACACCCACAGAATTACAGGATTGATATCACATTGTTTGAGTTAAGCTTTCCGGTGAGACCTGTGTTCTTTTGATTACTCCCAATGAGAACAGGATTTCTTTAGCACTTCTGATAATGTCTTCTGATAATTATCTTCTGATAATATCTTAGCACTGAAGTTTGCTTAGGGTTAACGTAGAAAATCATATTAGAAAACTGGGCTGGGCGCGGTGGCTCAAGCCTGTAATCCCAGCACTTTGGGAGGCCGAGGCGGGTGGATCACGAGGTCAAGAGATCGAGACCATCCTGGTCAACATGGTGAAACCCTGTCTCTACTAAAAATACAAAAAATTAGCTGGGCACGGTGGCGCGTGCCTGTAATCCGAGCTGCTCAGGAGGCTGAGGTGGGAGAATTGCTTGAACCCAGGAGGCGGAGGTTGCGGTGAGCCAAGATCGCACCATTGCACTACAGCCTGGGCAACAAGAGCAAAACTCCGTCTCAAAAAAAAAAAAAAAAGAAAAGAAAACTGTAGTTCCATTTAAGTAGGTTAAACTTAATAATATGCTACTTTGAATGCTAAGGATCTGACCAAATTCAGATACTAACACTATTATTGATTTCTGAAATGTCTGAATGAAGGTTTTAATATGTTTGCCATGTTTTGCTGATAGATTCTACTAGTTGAAATGCATACAGATTTAAATCTTGCAACGTTTTAAGTGGAAAAAAAGATTCAAAATTCAGTTAAAAAAAGTGATTTTAAAGGATATTGACAGAATTCTGAGAGAATTAAAAAATAATCCCATTTTACAAATGCATAGGATTTTATTTTTAATGTAGGCACTTAATTTTAAAGAAAGTTCTTGAATGTTTCAGCCATGGGAAGTACTCTATAATTTCATCGTTCAACCTTTGGTGTTTAAGAACCATTTTGCCAGATTTAATGCCATCTTTCAGCTTTTAGCCTATCAAATGGTCCTCAGTCACATCTGTTTCATAGCATTCTTAGGTATTGTTCTAAAACCAATTTTTTCCCTTGCAAGAGGTCAGCCTTTAGTTTTGGTCACTGGCTTGTGACCCATGGCTTTGTATTAGATAATTGATGTTAAATATTTTGGGTATTTTTTTGGTAAGGTAGAGAAATAAATTCAATGGAAAGTAAGGAGTCGGTCAGTCAAATAATATAATTCGTATAAAAATTGACAAGTCTTTATTTTTGTGACTTGCGAAATAGTTTAAGACATTTTTATGTGACTGATTTGTAGAATTAATACATATTTTCAAATATATCTTTTCAGAATTCAACTTGTAGAGTATTTTAGCAAAATGTAAGTATAGTTTATAAATATGTAAGTGTAGCTTTATAAAGATAAGATATTAAGGATTTATTTTAAAAAATAATTCTCTGGCCGGGCGCGGTGGCTCACGCCTGTAATCCCAGCACTTTGGGAGGCCGAGGCGGGTGGATCACGAGATCAAGAGATCGAGACCATCCTGGTCAACATGGTGAAACCCCGTCTCTACTAAAAATACAAAAAAATTAGCTGGGCATGGTGGCACGTGCCTGTAATCCCAGCTACTCAGGAGGCTGAGGCAGGAGAATTGCCTGAACCCAGGAGGCAGAGGTTGTAGTGAGCCGAGATCACGCCATTGCACTCCAGCTTGGGTAACAAGAGCAAAACTCCGTCTCAAAAAAAAAAAAAAATCTTCCATAAAGGGCAAATTGCTTAAACTTCTGTTATTCAGATTTAATTCAACTAAGATAGTCTGTGGCTTCACCGTTCAGTTTCGCAAGTTATTTTACAAACTACTAGTAATAGAGCTAATACAGAAAAGTAATCCATGTTATGAACATAGATCAAAATACGACATCATACCCCATAAATACATGCAGTTATTATTTCTCAGTTAAAAACTTTTAAAAAAGAAAAATAAAATTTGACTTTAGGCAAGAAGAAATTTCAAATTGTATATACAGATTTTGAATTTGGTTTATATTTTGTGGTATCTGAAATATTCCCTGGACTAGAAGCAAAACCAGAGAAACGAAATTTTACATTTAGAAAAAAATTTCAAGATTTACATTGCTAACTTTTTATTAGTGGGTTTTTTGAAGTTATTTGGAGCAGTATTGTCTAGTAGAACTTTCCACCATGATAGAAATGTAAATAAACATACCACATTGAAAACATAAATTTGGGAAACTCCTGCTAACTCCAGGTTGTCTTCGTATTTCACTAGGTTTTCCACTGAAGTTCTTTTTTACTTCCAGGATTCAATCCAAAGTCCTACCTGGCATTTAGTTGTCACATCTTACTTTCCTTCAATCTATGACAGCTCCTAAGTCTTTCCTTGTTTTTTTCCTGACCTTGACACTTCTGAAGAGTACTGGTCAGTTGTTTTGTAGAATATCCCTCCCTTCGGGTTTGTCTGATGTTTTCTCCTGATTAGATTGAGGGTATGCATTGTGGGGGAGAAATCCCAGAGCTGATGTGCTTTTCTCAGTATTGCAGCCTTCTAGATTTTTCCATAAAATAGTTACAAGAACAGATCAGCCCCAAAATCATAGAGCTGCTAGCAACAAAGCCAGGACTAGACCTAAAGTCTCACTTTTATGTGAGTGGTGCTAACCTATAAATCCCTTCATATATTTTCAATACCACTGAATTATCCAGCAGTCACCTTCCAGTGATGGGCAATTCTTTGTTTGGCTGTAGGGGCAATGGAATGGGGCCTGGGGAGGCTGTGTGGTAGACAGATATCCTGGAAGAAAAATAGCAATTTCAAACTGTGTGAAGTTAAGTGCTGGCCCAGTGTCCCTGCTGCTTCATGAATGGTGATGATGATGATGGTCACCGCTTATTAAGTGCTGGCTGAATGCCAGGCACTGTGCTTTCTATGTCGGCAGGACTGTCCTGCCTCAACTCAGGGTCACCCCTGTCCCCCTTCTAGAATCTGTGCTTTCCAGAAGAGACACTGAGAAGCACATTCCCCAGAACTCTTGACTCAGTACAGTTCCAGTTGAGAGTTTGTCAATGAGAGAAACTTGCATGAAATTTGAAGGCAGAAGAGAGGGAGAAGCCATTATTGTCCATGGCCAGACATATGGGCAGACATGAGATTTACAGAAGCTTCCTTAAGGAACTCATGAGAATCACACACTTTACAGCAGACAGGGGTGGGGCTGGGGGAGGGGATTTTCACTGCTTCTTGAGAACCTCAGCAGCTCCCTAATAATCTTTTTGAAAATCTTCCACCTTGGTGCTTTAGGCTGAGGTCTCCAGTGTCTGCTCCCTTTATCTTTGATGACACCTTCTGTGACTGTGTCTTTCCTACCGCTTTTAATAGTCCTGTAAACCATTAACTCCTATGCTAAAACCCTTTATGCCTGGCATACACAGCGTGGCTTCTGATTCTCCAACTAACTCCTGATGTAATATAACATGTTAATGCATTTGATCTTCTCACCATCCCAGGAGTCAGTGCCATTAGAAATGGGGACTCACAATCGATTGTGCCCATACCCACCAGTGAGCAATTAAATGAATATTTCAGATATTTCTTAGCAGTAAAACTAATATCTTTATTATTAGGATGTGTGCTCTTACTTGAAAAGAATGAAGATCAAAATTTAATTTCTTTTATCTTTCAAATATAAAAGGCTGTTTCCATAGGAAAGCATTTCCAGGCACTCTGGAAACATTCAGAAACCTGAGGACCAGAAATGGATACATTCCCTTTCTTCTACTTTGCTGCATTAGAATGCACAGAGTCAGCATTAACATCCCTCACTTGCTTAACTATTTGTCTTGGCCACTAGCCTGAGCTTCTGGAAGGCAGAGACTGTGTCTATGGTGCCTAACACCGAATAGTAGATGCCCAATAAACAAAGGCATTCCTCAGTCACCCTGCCTTAGCATGCCTGAGAGTTCATGATTAGTTTTATTTATTTGGTTTGAGCCTAATTTAATCTTTTCCCCTATGAAAATGTAATTTCTGTCTGTACTCATCCCTTATGTCTTCATTGTTAAATCTATTCCTCGAAGTTGGTTTGATTTCGAGTGTGAAGACAGCATAAGGACTTCTGAGTCTTGAGTGAGATAAATGTGCACTAAGATAAGTATATAATTAGGGCTGCAATATCCTTTGTAAAAGAAAAAAAAATCGGGAACGATGTGTTTTTTTTTTTAAAGTAAAATCATGGCTCTCATACAGATATAAAATGAACATATGCTGGAGATTTTATTGAATCTAGTACTAATGAGGGAACTGGTAAGATGTTACAACCATTTCAAAGGACAATCCAAAGAACAGACACATGTAGACATCAGGAATATGAAAGTGAATGTGCACATGAAGGCTCTTCCACAGCAAGGGCAGGCAGTCAATTGAATCTCCATCTATAGG